ACGATCGTTTATTCCTTGAGCAAAAGCACGATCGCTTATTCCTTGAGCAAAAGCACAATCGTTTATTCCTTGAGCAAAGGGCAGCAGTGAGGGGGGGAAAGCGCAGTCCGCCCCTCACAAATCCACCCCGGTGCTGCTGCTTGTAAGAGGGTGCTTGGGAGCTGGAACAGGCTCCCCAGAATAGCTGTCACAGGACCAAGCCGGATGGAGCTCAAGGAGTGTTTGGACAATGTTCTCAGGTGGGCCTCCTGTGTATTGTTCTTGTGCAGGCCCAGGAGCTGGACCTGATGATTCTTGTGGGTCCTCTGTGATTCTTGTAAAACAGTTTTCAGTGGCCATGTTGTACTTGGGGCATGTATTTTTGTAGGTGCTATGGTTACAAAGAACATGAAGTGCATTTAGGCTTTTATTTATTCAGACTAATTGAAAGCAGGTTTTTTTGTTTGCCTAAAGTCAAGGCTATATCTGATTGTAAGTTTGATGTGAAGTTTCAGAAGTAATTAGTACATGCCAGCAAGTTACTACAAAGCATATTTAATTCTTTACTAGAAATGGAGCTTTATCTGATAATTATTGGGTCAAAATTTGCAGAAGTACAATCCCCATGTTTATCAAGTAGTTACGCCAGGAAATAATTTTCAGTGAAATGCAGCAGGGATACAAATCACAAAATAATTTTATTGCAACATTTGGCCCGTCCACGCCTAATTCTGAAAACATATAAAAGGTGGAGGGTTCACGCTGCTCTTTCTACCTGCAGGAGCATCAGCTCTGCAGTCAGGATGCATCTCCCTGTAAGTATGCGTGCTTTTCTTCCTTACAAACTGCAACTTTGATTCAAACCCGTTCCTTTATCTCTCAGAAGGGCTTCTGCCTCTCTGGGGCCATTGTGCTCCTGCAGAAGGAGCAGCTCAGCCCCTGCTCCCCAGAGGAGCTGAGGAGGTAAGGATTTCTTCACGGCTTGGCTGTACATGATTCAGAAAACAGGAAGCCTAATCCATGCCCATTCTTGTCAATGCTTTTGCACCACTGGAGCACTGCACGAGTGCATCAAGCCCTTCCCTGCAATGCCAGAGCAGAAGAAATGGCAAAGCTTTCTCCTCACTCCTGTAAAATACCTGTGTGTGCCTGCACAGGTCTGAGAAACAGCTCTTGAGAGAGCAAGTGGGAAATGTGTCTACTTTGAGCAGCCTGGGGTAAAGCAAGGGTGCCTCCCTTTGGGGGCACTGATGCAATCCCAGGTCAAAAGCAAAAAAAGGATCCAAAGAGGAGCCTTAAACATCAGATTAGGAAAAGGGAAGGAGGATAGTCATGGCCAGATTTGACAGCCAGAGCTGCAGTTACATTTTGTATTTGATTTTCATTTCAGATTTTGACTGCAGTCCTTCTTGGACTCATCCTGACTCCAGCCCTTGCTGATTATGTGAGTACAAATGAACAATTTCCACATTGCTGCTCTTTCTATGCTCCCTGCTTCATGAGATTTCCTTTTTCTTTCACCTCCCCTTTGGAGGAAATAAACTGGAATCTTCTCTGACAGATGAAATTCTGACACTCTCTATGTGGTCGAACTTATTCTAGTCTAGCAGAGATTTTTATAAATATTTCAGGAGATGACTGACTAGTTTGAAAATCTAAAAAAGTCTCATTTTTTAATTGAGTCTCAGCAAAACTTAAAAGCAGGTTATCCTTGGGGTAAAGACCGAGGTCCCCATCACTAGTGGCCAATCACAGATTGTGATGGAACTAACCAGAGAGCAGGCCTTCCAATGTAGCACGGAGTTTTCTAAAACTCTGGGGACATCACTGCCTCCCTTCAAAGACTAAACATCTTCTTTCCCTTGGCTTTTCAGTCTCAGCAGGCGGGTAACAACTGCCAGGTCTCTGTTGGTGGTGTTTTCCAAAATCTGACTCTCAGTAGCCAAACACGTGTGGTGGTTATTGAACAAAGGAGCGAGCAGCTCTCATGGAAAACCATCTGGAACTACAACACGGTGAGTGGCAGGGAGGAGGTTTGATCACAAGGAGTGTAAGGAGACTGGCTCCTGGTAGAGCTGGCCCAGGGATGGGGATTGTTTCCCTATTGTGACTGTCTGCAGACCATGATTTGGGGCAGCGACCCTTGGCATTCATTCCTCTTTTAACAAAGGGTTTTCTCCAATCCCAAGGGTGGAAAAACTAAATTGCAAGTGGTCAATAACTTTTCATTACAGGGTATCATTGCAACCAAATTGGTGCAACAGAACACCTGCTACATTTCTGTCATGAACAGAAGTGAGATGCCCAGCTTTGAAAATCTGCTCCAACTGGCTTCCCAGAACAGGGTAAGATTCAAAATCTGTACTGTAGTTGATATTCATTTTTTTGTCCGGCACACTGCTATTTTCTAAACCTTCTTAAACAATGGGCAAATAAAAAGACATTTTATTGCTGATACTTTTGGTAATATTTTTCAGTTATATTATTTGTAAACACTCAAAAACTAAAATATCCTAATTTAAAAGCCTTTAGTGCAGGTTTGTCATATTGAGCCCAAATCCCAGATTAGATTATTTTTACAATTATGTAAATTATTGTATAGTTAACTCTTTGTTTACTGTCTTAATATCTGTGCATTTCTAAAGGCAGCTGGGACTCCAACACCCAGCCCCGAGTCATCCTTCCTTCCAGAGTGAGGAATAGCCCTTGCAGGAACCAGCTGCTGGCACTGATCTTGCTGAATGCTGTACTTTGTTCTTTAGAACCAGATCAGTCTTGGGAGACCAACCAAGAAGATCACCTTTGTCACCAATGGATTGGTCAGCAACCTCAACTCCTATGGAATAGAAATCGCGGCTATGTGCAGCGGACTCACCACCTACATGGCTTACGAAGTTCACAGTGAGTGTAAGTGTGGGAATTCTGAGTGGTACTGATCTGGCCTTTTTGTCGCCTGGGGCATGACTAGGGCACAGCTGCTGCTCATTCCCTTTGGGCCAAACAGAAACCAAGGGCTTCATCAGTTGCACAAAGGGTTTGGCACCTCAGCAGATTGAGACAGGAACAGGGTAGGGGTCACAGCCCCCATCAATGACATAAACCAAACCTTTAAAGCTTCTACCAAGGAGGCTTAACGGGGCTGTAATTGGGGCCTGGAGTGTTTTGACTCACAATGTGCTTTCCAGTAATACCCAGTCAAGAAAAAGGGTTGTTCTAAGAACTGAAATCCTTCAAGGCAGAGCTTGGTAATCAGTTGACCCTGGCAGCAAACAAAACCTTGTACTTCAACAACATTAAACCAAGTGGTTTCATCCCCTGTAACTCTTTCCCTGGGGCAATGATCCCATTCCCCGGGACTAAAATGACCTACACTTGATAGGATTCTTCCAGAACATCACAGCTCATGAGATTGGGCCCATGAACTGGCAGCAGCCTCACCATGCAATGCCCAGCCTTTGGGACTCTCAGAATAAAGTGCAATAGAGCCCCAACTTCTGCACAGGAAATCCCAAAGGGTGTTCAAGAGCAGGTCTTTGTGAGCATTCCTGGCTGAGCCACAGAGCCAGTGCTCTCTGGGGACTCCAAAAGAATGTCTCCCTTGCACAGCTCAAACATTCCCAGAGCAGCAATCCTTCAGAACCTGGCTGGCTCTGAGCAACACCAACACACTCCTGTAGAAGATCAGCCAAGGTCTTAGGCATCAGCTCAAAGGGTTTTGTCTTTTCTTTTCCAGCTTTGCATGTACCCCAGGAGAATCCTGGATCATGCATTACCCTTGATGTCCTGAGAATTGTGGAGCTGAAGTACTGCAATGGCAATGGCAATTGGAACGGCAATATCCCGGTAAGAAAACCTCACATCTTCCATTTTAATGAATCAGAAGTTGGGGGAATGGTTTCAGAAGCTTTGGGGACATCACAGTTGGCCTTCAAAAGTGAAACATCTTCTTTCCCTTGGCTTTTTAGCCTCAGCAGATTCCCGGTGACATCTTCAACAACACGCAAGGCAGCATCTTCAACAACACCCAGGTCATCATTGGTGGCCAGTCCCAAATTGTGACCATCAACAGGCAATGGCGTGTGGCTGTCATTGAGCAAAGGAGCTTCAGCGGGTCCTGGAAAACCATCTGGAACTACAACACGGTGAGTGGCAGGGAGGGGGCTTGTTCACAACGTCTGTGGGGAGACTGGCTCGTGGAAGAGCTGTCCCACAGACAGGACTCATCTCCTTATGCTGACCATGATGAGTGCAAAATTTCAAGTAGGAAATCCCAGCACTCATTCCTCTATGAAGAAATGGTTTTCTCCCATCTCAGGACATGAAAAATTGAAGTCCAAGTGATAATATATTTTTATTTTACAGGGTGTCATTGCCACCAAAGTCACTCAACAGAACACCTGCTACATTTCCATCATGAACAGAAATGAGATGCCCAGCTTCAACAATCTGGCCCACCTGGCTGAAGAGAGCAGGGTAAGGTTCCCAAGGAGTAGCAGATTCATGACCCTGGAGATCACTGATCTCTTTCTTCATGTGCCTTTTCCTTCTGGACAGGATGATGCTGTCAAAAGTGGCAGGAGTTTCTATCTCTCAACAGCAGTGGGGCTTGGGAATTTTTCCAAAGGATTGCTTTGCTGAAAGGACAAAATAGTTGCACATTCCCTTTCTGACGTCTGATTTCTCTGAGAATCTTGAGCTCTGCAGCTTGCTGAAAACATTTTATCTGAGCAGCTCTTTGAGGGTCTTAATTCTCTTGGCATGTCAAGATCTTAAAGTCTTTCACAGGCCTTTCAGTTTCAAAACTGCAGAGGTCAGCTCAGAACTTTGCATGGCTGCTGCTCTAGCCCAGACTCCCTTTCGTTTTGGTGTGTAAGAGAGCCTCCCCCTATTTCTGCTAGGGAACATGCTCTGCAGGAACCAGATCCCAGCTCTGATCTTGATGAATGCTGATATTTGTTGTTTAGAACCAGATCGGTCATGGAAGACCAACCAAGAAGATCACCTTTGTCACCAATGGATTGGTCAGCAACCTCCAGTCTTATGGATCAGATGTCTTCTCTATGTGCAGTGGACTCACCACCTACATGGCTTATGAGGTTCATGGTGAGTGCAAGCAAAGGAATTCTGTCTCTAAGTGACCTGGCCTTTGTTTCCCTTGGGAATGACCAATGCACAATTGCTGCTCTTCCACCTTGGGCGGCAGAGAAACCAAGGGCTTCAGCAGTTGTACAAAGGGTTCAACATTTTTGTAGATCAGGACTGGAACAAGGTGGGGTCACAGCCCCCATAAATGACCCAAACCAAATCCTTACAGATGCTTTACAGCAAGCTTAAGGAGGATGATGGAAATGGCAGCCAAAGTCTTAGGCATTAGCTGATGGGGTTTTGTTTCTTCCTTTCTTGCATTCCCAAGGACACCAAGTCAATCTGGGATCATGCATTACCCTTGATGTCCTGAGAGTTGTGGATCTGAAGTACTGCAACAGCAATGGCAATGGACAAGTGAGAAAACCTTACCCTTACCTTTCTTGAACCAAATGGGTGGGGCATGCAATCTGCTGCCCAAAGCCAACCCTGCTGCCTTTCTTTTCTGGCATCTCCTCTTTCGAGTGGTTCCTTCCTGAGGGTGCAGATGCTGAAAGAGACAATGGGTCTGTAAATATTTCCATCCAAGACTATTGAGCATGGATTTATTCTGGCCAGTGCTCTTGCATCAACATCTAAAGGCACCAGATGGCAGCTGTCAGATGCAGCAATGATGCACTGATCCCATGAATGGAATTATTACAGCCTCTGACGAATGTCAAAGCCTTGATTCTGGGTGCTTTGGAAAAGACAGAGCCAGGGCTGGCACTCCCTGGGGGGAAGCACTTCTTCAATTGTAGTAGGGATTTTTTGGAAACCTGGGGGACATCGCTGTCTTTAAATGCAAAATGTGTTCTTTCCTTTGGCTTTTTAGTCTCAGCAGATTCCTGGTGGTGAGGGCAACACCCAAGTCATCATTGGTGGCCAGTCCCAAATTGTGACCATCAACAGGCAATGGCGTGTGGCAATCATTGAGAAAAAGGCCGGCATTGGATCCTGGAAAACCATCTGGAACTACAACACGGTGAGTGGCAGGGAGTGGGGTTGTTCACAAAGCATATGAGGTGACTGGCTGGTACAGCTGGCCCATGGATGGGGCTTGTTTCCTTTTTCTGACTATGCTGAGTGCACTGTTTGGTGTAGGAAAACTCAGAATTTGTTTCCGTTTTAATAAAGGGTTTTCTCCAATTCCATTGTGTGAAGGACTGAAGTGTGACTTCTTAATAACTTTATTTTCCAGGGCATCATTGTTACCAAAGTCACACAACAGAACACCTGCTACATTTCCACCATGAACAGAAATGAGATGCCCAGCTTCAATAATCTGGCCCGCCTGGCACAAGAGAGCAAGGTAAGGTTCCCATGGAGCAGCAGAGTCCTGACACGGTGTTCATTCGCCTATTTTTTCATGTGCTTTTCCTTCTGGACAGGACAATGTCACAGGTAGAAGGAGTTTTTTTCAACAGCAGTTGGGCTTGGGAATTTTACATTGGAATGGTTTGCAGGAAGAAGAAAGAGGCTGTACCATTCCTTTCCTCCTTCCCACTTTCTCTGAGGATGTTGAGCTCTGCAGCATGGTGGGCAAATGGTGCTGAGAGGAGCCCTTCAAGGGCCTTGATTCTCTTGATGTGCAAAGATCTCAAAGTCGTACGCAGACTATTCAGTACTAAATTACATTTGCCAGCTCACAATTTCTTATTTCAGATGCTCTTGGCCAGACTCTCCTTTTCCTTTGGGATGTAAGAGAGCGACTCACTGTTCCACAGCCTTTCCCCTAGGGAATATTCTTAGCAGGAAACAGATTTTAACACTCATCTTGATGAATGCTGGTATTTGTTGTTTAGAACCAGATCGGTCATGGAAGACCATCCAAGAAGATCACCTTTGTCACCAATGGATTGGTCAGCAACCTCCAGTCTTATGGATCAGATGTCTTCTCTCTGTGCAGTGGACTCACCACCTACATGGCTTATGAGGTTCATGGTGAGTGCAGGCAAAGGAATTCTGTCTCTAAGTGACCTAGCATCTGTTTCCCTTGGGGAATGACCAATGCACAATTGCTGCTCTTCCACCTTGAATCAAACAGAAACCAAGGGCTTCAGCAGTTGTACAAAGGGTTCAACATCTTTGCAGATCAGGACTGGAACAGGGTGGGGTCACAGCCCCCATAGATGACCCGAAGCAAATCCTTAGAGCTCCCTCCCAGGAAGCTTAATGAGGCTGAATTTAGGGCCAAGAGTATTTCAGCTCAAACTGAGCTCCCCTGTAATGCCCAGCCAAGAAAAAGGGTTACTCTAAGTGTCACTGTCCTTCAGATCAGAGCTGACTGACAACTGGCATGGCAGCCACGGTCTCACACAAAAGCTGATGGGATTTTGTTTCTTCCTTTCTTGCATTCCCAAGGACACCAAGTCAATCTGGGATCATGCATTACCCTTGATGTCCTGAGAGTTGTGGATCTGAAGTACTGCAACAGCAATGGCAATGGACAAGTGAGAAAACCTTACCCTTACCATTCTTGAACCAAATGTGGGGGTAACTGATCTACTGCCCAAAGCCAACCCTGATGCCTTTCTGTCCTGGCATCTCCTCTTTCGAGTGGTTCCTTCCTGAGGGTGCAGATGCTGAAAGAGACAATGGTTCAGCAAAGATTTCCTTTTACTCTGGCTAGTGCTCTTGCACCAACCTCCAAAGGCATCAAAGGACAGCTGCCAGATGCAGCAGTGATGCACTGAATCCATAAAAGAATTCTTACGGCTGCTGCCAAACGCCACAGGCTTGATTCTGGGTCATTTGGAAAACCCTGAGAGCAGGGCTGGCACTCCACAGGGGCAGCACTTCTTCCATTGTAGCAGGGATTTTGTGGAAAATTTGGAGATATCAGATTCTCCATCAAAGGTGAAATGTGTTCTTTCCCTTGTCTTTTTAGTCTCAGCAGATTCCTGGTGGTGAGGGCAACACCCAAGTCATCATTGGTGGCCAGTCCCAAATTGTGACCATCAACAGGCAATGGCGTGTGGCAATCATTGAGAAAAAGGCTGGCATTGGATCCTGGAAAACCATCTGGAACTACAACACGGTGAGTGGCAGGGAGTGGGGTTGTTCACAAAGCATATGAGGTGACTGGCTGGTACAGCTGGCCCATGGATGGGGTTTGTGTCCTTATTCTGATCGTGTTGAGTGCACAGTTTGGGGTAGGAACTCTCAGAACCTTTTTCTGTTTTAATAAAGGGTTTTCTCCAGTTCTAAAGGTTGAAAGACTGAAGTGTGACTTCTTAACAACTTTATTTTCCAGGGCATCATTGTTACCAAAGTCACACAACAGAACACCTGCTACATTTCCACCATGAACAGAAATGAAATGCCCAGCTTCAATAATCTGGCCCACCTGGCACAAGAGAGCAGGGTAAGGTTCCCATGGAGCAGCAGATTCATGACTCTGGAGTTCATTGATCCATTACTTCATGTGCCTTTTCCTTCTGGACAGGATGAGTTTTCACAAGTGGCAGGATTTTCTTTTTTCATCAGTAGTGGAGATTGGGAATTTTACATAGAGTTTTTACAGGGTTTGGAGAAAGAAGAAAGGGGTTGCACCATTGCTTTCCTCCTCCCTTCTCTCACTGAGGATGTTGAGCTATGCAGCTTGCTGAGCAAACCTTGATGTGAACAGCCCTTCAAGGGCCTTGATTCTCATGATATGCCAAGGTCTCAACGTCCTACACAGATTATTCAGTACCAAAATCAATTGGTCAGCTCAGAAATTGGTATTGCAGATGCTCTTGGCCAGAATCTCCTTTTCCTTTGGTGCTTGAGAAAGCGTCTCCCTATTCCGCAGCCTTTTCTCTAGGTAATATTCGTAGCAGGAAACAGATTTTAATACTCATCTTGATGAATGCTGATATTTATGGTTTAGAACCAGATCGGTCATGGAAGACCAACCAAGAAGATCACCTTTGTCACCAATGGATTGGTCAGCAACCTCCAGTCTTATGGATCAGATGTCTTCTCTCTGTGCAGTGGACTCACCACCTACATGGCTTATGAGGTTCATGGTGAGTGCAGGCAAAGGAATTCTGTCTCGAAGTGACCTGGCATCTGTTTCCCTTGGGGAATGACCAATGCACAATTGCTGCTCCTCTACCTTGAATCAAACAGAAACCAATGGCTTCAGCAGTTGTACAAAGGGTTCAACATCTTTGCAGATCAGGACTGGAACAAGGTGGGGTCACAGCCCCCATAAATGACCCAAACCAAACCCTTACAGATCCTTCCCAGGAAGCTTAAGGAGGACGATGGGAAAGGCATCCAGTGTCTTAGGCATTAGCTGATGGGGTTTTGTTTCTTCCTTTCTTGCTTCCCAAGGAGTCCAAGTCAATCTGGGATCATGCATTACCCTTGATGTCCTGAGAGTTGTGGATCTGAAGTACTGCAACAGCAATGGCAATGGACAAGTGAGAAAACCTTACCTTTCCCTTTTTTGAACCAACTGGGGGGGGTACCCGAGCTGCTGCCTGAAGCCAACCCTGATGCCCTTCTTTCCTGGCATCTCCTCTTCAGAGAGGTTCCAGTTTGAGGGTGCTGATGCTGAAAAAGAGCAATGAGGAAGCAGAGGATTCCATCCTAGCCCTTGAGAGTGGATTAACTGTGGCCTGTCCTCTTGCAGACATCAACATCTAAAGGCAGCAGATGGCAGCTGTCAGATGCAGCAATGATGCACTGATCCCATGAAAGGAATTATTACAGCCTCTGACAACAGCCTAGATTCAGGGTCCTTTGGAAAACCCTGAGAGCGGGGCTGGCACTCCACAGGGGCAGCACTTCTTCCATTGTAGCAGGGATTTTGTGGAAAATTTGGAGATATCAGATTCTCCATCAAAGGTGAAATGTGTTCTTTCCCTTGTCTTTTTAGTCTCAGCAGATTCCTGGTGGTGAGGGCAACACCCAAGTCATCATTGGTGGCCAGTCCCAAATTGTGACCATCAACAGGCAATGGCGTGTGGCAATCATTGAGAAAAAGGCCAGCACTGGATCCTGGAAAACCATCTGGAACTACAACACGGTGAGTGGCAGGGAGTGGGGTTGTTCACAAAGCATATGAGGTGACTGGCTGGTACAGCTGGCCCATGGATGGGGTTTGTGTCCTTATTCTGACCGTGTTGAGTGCACAGTTTGGGGTAGGAACTCTCAGGACTTGTTTCTGTTTTAATAAAGGGTTTTCTCCAGTTCTAAAGGTTGAAAGACTGAAGTGTGACTTCTTAATAACTTTATTTTCCAGGGCATCATTGTTACCAAAGTCACACAACAGAACACCTGCTACATTTCCACCATGAACAGAAATGAGATGCCCAGCTTCAATAATCTGGCCCGCCTGGCACAAGAGAGCAAGGTAAGGTTCCTAAGGAGCAGCAGAGTCCTGACACGGTGTTCATTGGCCCATTTCTTCATGTGCTTTTTCCTTCTGGACTGGATGAAATTTTCACAAGTGGCAGGATTTACTTTCTTCCAACAGTAGTGGGGCTTGGGAATTTTACATAGAATTGGTTTGCAGGAAGAAGAAAGGGGCTGTACCATTCCTTTCCTCCTTCCCACTTTCTCTGAGGATGTTGAGCTGTGCAGCTTGCTGGGAAAACCCTGATGTGAACAGCCCTTCAAGGGCCTTGATTCTCATGGCGTGCCAAGATGTGAAATTCTACACAGATTATTCAGTACCAAAATCAGTTGGTCAGCTCAGAACTTGGCATTGCAGATGCTCTTGGCCAGAATCTCATTTTCCTTTGGTGTTTGAGAAAACATCTCCTTATTCCACAGCATTTCCTCTAGATAATATTCCTAGCAGGAAACAGATTTTAACACTCATCTTGATGAATGCTGTACTTTGTTCTTTAGAACCAGATCAGTCTTGGGAGACCTACCAAGAAGATCACCTTTGTCACCAATGGATTGGTCAGCAACCTCCAGTCTTATGGATCAGATGTCTTCTCTATGTGCAGTGGACTCACCACCTACATGGCTTATGAGGTTCATGGTGAGTGCAGGCAAAGGAATTCTGTCTCTAAGGTACCTGGCATTTGTTTCCCTTGGGAATGACCAATGCACAATTGCTGCTCTTCCACCTTGAATCAAACAGAAACCAATGGCTTCAGCAGTTGTACAAAGGGTTCAACATCTTTGCAGATCAGGACTGGAACAAGGTGGGGTCACAGCCCCCATAAATGACCCCAAGCAAATCCTTAGAGCTCCCTCCCAGGAAGCTTAAGGAGGCATAATTTTGGTCCCAGTGTGTTTCAGCTCAAACTGAGCTCTCCTGTAATTCCCAGTCAAGAAAATGTGTCACTCTAAGGGCCGCTGTCCTTCCGGTCAGAGCTGATTCACAATTGGAATGGCAGCCAAGGTCCTAGACATCAGCTGATGGGTTTTTATTTCTTCTTCTTTTGCTTCCCAAGGAGTCCAAGTCAATCTGGGATCATGCATTACCCTTGATGTCCTGAGAGTTGTGGATCTGAAGTACTGCACTGGCAATGGCAATGGACAAGTGAGAAATACTTACCTTTGATTAACCAAATTTGGGGGGGGGGGCGGGTGGGGAGTAACCCGAGCTGCTGCCCAAAGCCAACCCTGCTGCCCTTCTTGTATGGCATCTCCTCTTTTGAGAGATTCCTGCTTGAGGGTGCAGATGCTGAAAGAGAGCAATGGGTCTGCAAAGGTTTCCATCCCAGACCTTGAGCCCAGATTAAATGTGGCCAGTCCTCTTGCAGTCATCAACCTCTAAAGGCAGCAGATGACATCTGTCAGATGCAGCAGTGATTCACTGAATCCATAAAATAATTCTTATGGCCTCTCCCCAACACCACAGACTTGATTTTGGGTCATTTGGAAAAGACTGAGGCAGTGTCTGCACTCTCCAGGGAGCAGCACTTCTTCCATTGTAGCAGGAATTCTGTGGAAAATTTTGGGACATCACTGTCACCCTTCAAAAGTGAAACATCTTGTTTCCCTTGTCTTTTTAGTCTCAGCAGATTCCCGGCGGCATCTTCAACAACACGCAAGGCAGCATCTTCAACAACACCCAAGTCATCATTGGTGGCCAGTCCCAAATTGTGACCATCAACAGGCAATGGCGTGTGGCTGTCATTGAGCAAAGGAGCTTCAGCGGGTCCTGGAAAACCGTCTGGAACTACAACACGGTGAGTGGCAGCGAGGTGGCTGCTTCAAAAAGCATCCAAGGAGTCAGGCTGCTCATAGAGCTGGCCCAGGGGCAGAGATTGTTTCTTTATTCAAAACATTTGGTGTTAGTGATGCAGCATAGAAACTCTCATCAACTCTTATGGTTTCCATCCTGACTTTATCTCAAAATTATTAATTGGAAAAAACAGAATTATGAGTGCTGAATACTTTTATTTCACAGGGTGTCATTGCCACCAAAGTCACTCAACAGAACACCTGCTACATTTCCATCATGAACAGAAGCGAGATGCCCCACTTTGATAACCTGGCCCACCTGGCAGAAGAGAGCAGGGTAAGATTACCAAGTTGTAGCAGATTCATGACCCTGGAGATTATTGGGCCACATCTTCATGTGATTATATCTTCAGGAGAAGACAAGGTTGTCAAAAGTGGTAGAATTTTCTTTCTTTCAAGAGTAGTTTGGTTTGGGAATTTTTCAGAGGAATGGCTTGCTGAAAGAGAAAAAGGGACACCATTCCCTCCCCCAGCTTCACATTGTCTGAGAACCTGCAGCTTGCTGGGCAAACCCTTGCTCTGTGCAGCAAGGAGCCCTTCAATAATTGATTCTCTTGGCATGCCAAGATCTGAAAGTCCTACACACACTATTCAGTACCAAAATCAATTGGTCTGCTCAGAACTTGGCGTTGCAGATGCTCTTGGCCAGACTCTCCTTTTCCTTTGGGATGTGAGAGAGCAAATCCCTCTTCCACAGTCTTTCCCTACAGTATATTCCGAGTAGAAAACAGATTCTGACACCTATCTTGCTTATTGCTGTAATTTCTTTTTTAGAACCAGATCAGTTTTGGAAGACCTACCAAGAAGATCACCTTTGTCGCCAGTGCATTGGTCAGCAACCTCCAGTCTTATGGATCAGATGTCTTCTCTATGTGCAGTGGACTCACCACCTACATGGCTTATGAGGTTCATGGTGAGTGCAAGCAAAGGAATTCTGTCTCTAAGTGACCTGGCCTTTGTTTCCCTTGGGGAATGACCAATGTACAATTGCTGCTCTTCCACCTTGAATCAAACAGAAACCAAGGGCTTCAGCAGTTGCACAAAGGGTTCAACATCTTTGCAGATCAGGATTGGAACAGGGTGGGGTCACAGCCCCCATAAATGACCCAAGCAAAACCTTTACAGTTCCTTTCCAGTAATCTTTATTAGTCTGGACCCATGAATTGGCAGCAGCCTCACCATGCAATGCCCAGCCACTCTCAGGACAAAGTGCAATAGAGCCCCAACTTCTGCACAGGAAATCCCAAAGGGTGTTCAAGAGCAGGTCTTTGTGAGCATTCCTGGCTGAGCCACAGAGCCAGTGCCCTCTGGGGACTCCAAGAGAATCTGTCCCTTGCACAGCTCAAACATTCCCAGAGCTTCAATCCTTCAGAACCTGGCTGGCTCTGAGCAACACCAACACCCTCCTGTAGAAGGTCAGCCAATGTCTTCTGCATCAGCTCAAGGGGTTTTGTCTTTTCTTTTCCAGGTTTCCAGGGGCCCCAGGTGAATCCTGGATCATGCATTACCCTCGATGTCCTGAGTGTTGTGGATCTGAAGTACTGCCTTGGTAATTTCCATGGCAATGGACAGGTGAGAAAACCTTAGCCCTTAGACTTGTTAAACCATTTTGAGGGTCTCAAAACTGCTGCTCAAACCCAACCTTGATGCCCTTCTTGTCTGACATCTCCTCTTTTGAGAGGTTCCTGCCTGAGGGTGCATGCTGATACAGCAATGGGTCAGCAGAAGTTTCTGTTCAGGACCTTAAGCGTGGGTTTACTCTGGCCAGTGACCTAGCATGCATCAACCTCTAAAGGCAGCAGATGACAACTGTCAGATGCAGCAATGATTCATTGAATTAATGAAAAGAATTCTTATGGCCACTGCCCACTGCCACAAACTTGATTCTGGGTTTTTTGGAAAAGACTGAGGGCAGTGCAGGCACTCCCTGGGCGGCAGCACTTCTTCCATTGTAGCGGGGATTTTTCAGAAGCTTTGGGGACATCACTGTCTCCCTTCAAAGGCAAAACATCTTCTTTCCCTTGGCTTCTCAGTCTCAGCAGACGGGTAACAACTGCCATTTCTCTGGTGCGTGTGTTTACCAAAACATGACCCTCAGCAGCCAAACCCGTGAGGTGATTATCGAGCAAAGGAGCGAGCAGCTCTCCTGGAAAACCATCTGGAACTACAACACGGTGAGTGGCAGGGAGGAGGCTTGTCAAAAAAGTTTACTGGGAGACTGGCTCCTGGAACAGTCTATCCCGTCCTTTTGGGTGGAGAACTAAACTGTGAGTGCTCAATAACTTTATTTTACAGGGCATCATTGCAACCAAAGTGGTGCAGGAGAGAACGTGCTACATTTCCACCATGAACAGAAATGAGATGCCCGCCTTTGATGCTCTCGTCCAATATGCTTCAGAGAACAGGGTAAGATTCAAAGTCAGCAGTTGCTTGGAATATTGTACTGTATTTGAAATTCCTTTTTATGCCTGAAACACTGCTGTTTTCAAAACCCTCTTAACTAATTGGTAAATTAAAATCCATTTTAATGGTTATTTTCATGGATATTTTCAGTGATGTTTTTCAGGTACATCTTTTGAAGGCTTTCAAAGATTACAATATCCTCATTTAGATGCCTTTAGTGCAGGTTCATCATGTTGAGTTCAAGTCCTAGATTAGTTAGATAATTTTTACAGTTATTTAAATCATTATTTCAATTGGCTTTTTATATTACCTTAGTAACCAAGACTTTAGATTCTTTGCTAAGTATGTTATATAAAGTCTCATTCTGAAAGTCTAGAAAAATATTTTTTTCATAAGATCAAATTGAGGAAGAACAAATACTTTGATTTTACAGAAAAAATATTTTAGAAAGCTTTCAAACATTTTGAAGAAAATTATGCTCAGTGTTTCTTTAGTTCAGCCAATCACATTAGCACAGACATTATAAAAATTATCTCAGCATTCAGCATATTCACCTTTGCTAAACACTGGCTTCCATTGAAGTCTGAGAACTGAGTCTGTAAAAAAAACAGACTTTAAATAGCAGGAAGAGCAGTAGGGCAGAAGGGAATCAGGAGGAGACTTCTCCTGCCAGCCACAGCCCGAGTGCCCCTGAGGGGCGAGGGCAGCGACTGGGCAAGTGCCTTGGAAGGAGCTCTGGCTCCACAGAGCAGCTGCACTCCTCCTCTTCAGCGCTTCCCCGCTGGCTCCCTGCACCTTGACTCCCTTAGAACCACCTGACCTGGGAGCTGCCTGCAAGGCTTGCTAGTGGGCCCAGAGTCTCCCAGGGACTGAAAGGCGTTTCTAAAGGCAGCTGGGACTCCAACACCCAGCCCCGAGTCATCCTTCCTTCCAGAGTGAGGAATAGCCCTTGAAAGAACCAGCTGCTGGCACTGATCTTGCTGAATGCTGTACTTTGTTCTTTAGAACCAGATCAGTCTTGGGAGACCTACCAAGAAGATCACCTTTGTCACCAATGGATTGGTCAGCAACCTCCAGTCTTATGGATCAGATGTCTTCTCTATGTGCAGTGGACTCACCACCTACATGGCTTATGAGGTTCATGGTGAGTGCAGGCAAAGGAATTCTTTCTCTAAGTGACCTGGCATTTGTTTCCCTTGGGAATGACCAATGCACAATTGCTGCTCTTCCACCTTGAGATTGACACAAAGGAAGCAGCAAACACACATCCTTGTAGAGGAGCAGCTGCTGCTATGGAGTGTGTATAAATCTACTGAGTTGGTGTCAGTTTCTTAATCACAGAGGTTCTTCTACTAAAGTCAAAAACTATATTATTTGAAATATATTCAAGCAATTATTTTACTCAGAGGAGTTAATCCTGAGGCACCCTCAAAGAATTCCGAGCCTCTCTCCAGCTGATGATCTCCAGCCCTCTTTTGGAAAACACTCTGCAGCTCAGGCTCCAGCTGTTGCATTCTGGCTTAGCAGTAGTTCCACGTAGTCACTGCTTGCTTTGCTTTAAGCTTGCTTTGGCAGCGGAAAGGGCTGAATATGATTGAAAAGGCAAGTGCAATGTGCCAGGTTTAAGGGCTGTCAGCGAATGCACAGAGCACTTAACAGCCTCTAAGCCAGTGACTCTTTTTTTTCCTTTTTTTTATGCTGTTTGTATAGGAACCCAGCTGAATCAGGGATCGTGTCTCTCACTTGATGTCCTCAAACTTGTGGACCTGAATTATTGTGGTGGCAATATCAAGGCCTGAAAACCTTATCTTTCTTCAATCAAGAACAGAGACTCTGAGCTGCTGCCCAAGGCAAACCCTGATGCAATTCTTCCCTCACATCTCCTTTTAGAGATGGTCTTGGGGATTTAGATGCTGACACAGATCAACTGGTGGCTACATCTTTCAAATAAAGTCCTTCATTATGTATTAACTCCAGCCTGTTTGTTGATACTCTTTTTCATCTAAGAACTCTCCACAAAAATATATTTATTGTCACCCTTCTGCCCCATTTGAGCCCTTCAAATGCTCTTTTCATTGCCAGCTCTCAACACAGGGCACAGACAAAGAGCTGGGCAAGCCCCAGGGTGTGTATGGTACAAATAAGGCATTCACAGTTAGGACCTTCCTTCCCAGTTTGGGGAAAGATGCCTCACGTTAAGAATCTTGATTTAGGTGGCACAAAAGGCAGAAAGAAGGGCAAAGCAGTGAATTTGCCTTTTTTAGGGGAAGAGGGGTCTCCTTTGTGGGATTTACAGAGTTGTTCTGTTCCTTAAAAAAGGCAAAGTTGGGATTCCTGTTGCTCAAATCTTTACAATCAAGATATTTCCTTTTCTCTAACAAAAATGGCAGGATGCCCCAAGTTATCCAGGTGAATACAAATCTGTCTTTAGTACCAACACCATCCCTCAGTTTCTGGCATACTCAAATCAGCCCTCAGTTCATAACCTGGTGCACATTGGCACAAAACATCACTGCAAGTTTGCTAGGAATCTGTGCTCTGCTTCTGCTTATATTTTCTTTTTTCATTTAAAAGTGACTGTTCAATACACTGAGCTTACCATGACCACTTTCCTCTCACCTCCCTGTATGCCATGAATTCAATCAGGCAGGTATCAAAGCCTCCTCTTATCAGAGCACTTCCCCAGGAAACTCGTCATGCTTCTGTGAACACAGGGCACCTGCCAACAAGGCAAAGCCATTTTCAGATTTAACTTTGGGATATTATGTATAAAAAGCAAGAGTGGTGGTTTCCTGGCTCCTGCTCTAGCTTCCAGGGTGTTGTGAATGAGTGATTTCAGTCACTTGAAGAAAATAAAAAAGCAGGTTTCAACATCAGTTTGTGGAAGTACAGAATTCAATGGCAAGGGTTAGTCTATTGCTTACTGCATAGTTGAAACCTGCAAAGGAAAATCAAATTAAAATCACTTCAGAATGGCATACACAGAGTCCAGGGCTGCAAAGGGTGAGGGGGCAATGGGTTTAAGAGCATTTAAACACTGACTCATTTACAAGGTGGTTCAATAGTGTTTACTACAATTACAAGAAAGACTGAAATATAGATTCAAGATAGCACCATTCATACCCTAATCACTCCTCGTGCACACACACAGGCCCAGAGCTGTTTACATCTCTATCAATGTGTGCAAAAGGACCTGTGAAAAATTCCCCTGGGACAGGACAAACACCTTTGCCTTTCTCAGTGGGTGAGGGGTTATCTCGAGGAGAGGGGGGCACCAGCCCAGACTTCAGGGAGTGTTTTCAGTACTGCAGCCCTGAGGCTTGGCAGGCTCCAGGAGGGATCCCACTCCAGGGAGATGATGGTGGAGCCCACTGCAGCCCAGAGCAGCTCAAAGGCCCCCCTAGCACTGCTGTTTCTGGAGGCAGGGGATGGCTGTCCTTAATTCCCAGGAGATTTGTGCCCTTAATTCCCAGGAGATCTGTGCCCTGGCCTATCCCGGGTTGGTAACAATGGTCCCGTTCCACTCAGGCTGTGATACAGGTAGATAATGTTCCAAGGCTGTCAGGGGATGAGTGATTGTCCCTTGTTCCCTGCCTGGGTCAGGTAAGCAACATTCCTGATTTAAGCAGTGTCACTCCCACGTTTCCCTCTCAGAGCTCCCGGTACAGTCATGAAAACCAGGTCGGGGTAAAGCCTGAGTGTAAAGTCTGACACAAGAGCACTGATGGCTCCCGTGGGCTTCCCAGCCTCCCTCTGAGGCCAGAAACCGTCTCCCCTTTAGTCTGACCTCCAAGAGCAATAATTCCCCAAAACAGGGCTACTGCAGCCAATGCTTTATACACTGCTGGGAATCCACAAAATCCTTACTTCCTTTAATCTATTCCAAAAACTGGAACAGCAGGAAAAGCTCCAAGGAGCACCACAATGAAAGTTCACACCACTCTGGGTTATGCTTGAGGAGAAATATTATACACGTGGCATTGCTGGAGGAGGCAAAAAAACTTTTTTTTTTTTTTTTTTTAGCCTACCAACAGATTCCTACCTCACAATCATCAGACACCAGCAGATCAAAATTTCCAGAAGTACAATCCCCACACTTATCAAGTAGTTACACCAGGAAATAATTATCAGGGACATGCAGCAGGGAAACAAATGACAAAATAATTTTATTGCAGCATTCAGCCCTTCCACACCTAATTCTGAAAACAAATAAAAGGTGGGAGGCTCACATGATTTATTCTGCCTTCAGCAGCATCAGCTCTGCAGTCAGGATGCATCTCCCTGTAAGTATGCGTGCTTTTCTTCCTTACAAACTGAAACTTTGATTCAAACCCGTTCCTTTATCTCTCAGAAGGGCTTCTCCCTCTCTGGGGCCATTGTGCTCCTGCAGAAGGAGCAGCTCAGCCCCTGCTCCCCAGAGGAGCTGAGGAGGTAAGGATTTCTTCATGGCTTGGCTGTACATGATTCAGAAAACAGGAAGCCTAATCCATGCCCATTCTTGTCAATGCTTTTGCACCACTGGAGCACTGCACGAGTGCATCAAGCCCTTCCCTGCAATGCCAGAGCAGAAGAAATGGCAAAGCTTTCTCCTCACTCCTGTAAAATACCTGTGTGTGCCTGCACAGGGCTGAGAAACAGCTCTTGAGAGAGCAAGTGGGAAATGTGTCTACTTTGAGCAGCCTGGGGTAAAGCAAGGGTGCCTCCCTTTGGGGGCACTGATGCAATCCCAGGTCGAAAGCAAAAAAAGGAGCCAAAGAGGAGCCTTAAACATCAGATTAGGAAAAGGGGAGGAGGATTGTCATGACCAGATTTGTCAGCCAGAGCTGCAGTTACATTTTGTATTTGATTTTCATTTCAGATTTTGACTGCAGTCCTTCTTGGACTCATCCTGACTCCAGCCCTTGCTGATTATGTGAGTACAAATGAACAATTTCCACATTGCTGCTCTTTCTATGATCTCTTCCCTGCTTCAGAGATCTCCTTGAGCCTTTCATTTTTCTAAAGCCTTGGGCAGATAATCACTTGAAAGCCAAAGTGCTCTTTAATTTGTTTTTCTAGCATCAACAGACTGAAGTAAGCAAAAAAATCTCCATTGGTGGAACTTACCAAATTATGACCATCAATAAGAAATGGCTGGTGGCAAGTATTGAGCAAAAGACCAGCTATGGGTACTGGAAAACCATCTGGAACTATGACACAGTGAGTGCAGTCTCTTATTCTTGCTCATATATTCAGTAAAAACTCTTTTTATACGTTTTTAAATAGGCATGAAATTCCAATATTAATGATTAAATTCCCAGTGGTCCATAACTTTATTTTACAGGGCTTTATGGCAACCAAAGTGCTGCCAGAGAGAGCTTGCTACATTTCCATAATGAACAGAACAGAGATGCCCAGCTTTGATTCTCTTCCCCAGCTGGCTGCAGACATCAGGGTAAGGTTGAAAAGGAGCAGTTACTTGGAAAGTTGTACTTAATGCAAAGTATACTGATACCTGAGGCCTTGCTATTTTCAAAACCAACAGGTACTTTAAAGACCAGGTTTGTCACACCATTAATTAGATATTTTTATCAATTTCACTGACATTTTACATCAATGTGACTTTAAACTTTTGGCAATTGGAATACCCTTGTTCAGATACTTCCAGTAGAGGGTTTACAGGTTTGGCCAATGTTGTAGCTCAGTTAGATTATTCTTAAGATGTTTATAACAGCTAAAGCTGGGAATATGCCTGGAGTTAAACAGAGCAGGGCACGGATCTTGCTGAATGCTGGTTTTTGATGTTTAGAACCAGAATCATCCAAGAACCCCTACAAAGGAGATCACATTCACCCTTGTGAAGAGAGTTATTCGTGACCTTGAATCATATGGTCCAGACATCTTCTCTACGTGCAAAGGGCTCTCAACTTATGTGGCTTATGAGGTTCATGGTGAGTGCAAGCAAAGGAATTCTAAGTGACCTGGCCTTTGTTTCCCTTGGGGAATGACCAATGCACAATTGCTGCTCTTCCACCTTGAATCAAACAGAAACCAAGGGCTTCAGCAGCTGTGCAAAGGGTTCAACATCTCTGCAGATCAGGACTGGAACAGGGTGGGGTCACAGCCCCCATAAATGACCCGAAGCAAACCCTTACAGATCCTTCCCACGAAGCTTAAGGAGGCTGAATTTTGGTCCCAGAGTGTTTGAGCTCGTACTGAACTCCCCTGAAATACCCAGTCAATGAAAAGGGTGGCTCTAAGCACCTCTGTCCTTCTGCTCAGAGCTGACTTGACCCAGAGCACTTAACAGCATCTTAATCTATGTCTCATGATAATTGCCTTTCTTTTCTGGTTTTTGAAGGACCCCAATTCAATCTTGGCTCATGCATCAAGCTTGATGTCCTTCAATATTTGGCCCTCACCTACTGCCATAATGGTGACTTTGTGTAAATCATGCCTTTCCTGAGCCTTGTGGGGATGCTCCAGCAGCAGCCTTGCAGCTGCTGCCCAAAGCCAGCCCTGCTGGAGTTACTGCCTGGCATCTCTTCCTTCAAGAGGTTCCTTCCTGAGGATTGAGGACTGGAACAGATCAGTTGGTGAGCAGAGCTATCAATTAAATTCCTTCATCATGGAATAACTCTGGCCTGTTTGTCATTACTCTACCCTTTTTCTTCTAAGAACACCTCCACAAAAATATTTTGCCTCATTTGAGCCCTTCCACTGCTCTTTTCATCTCAGCACACCCAGAGAGCTGGGCAGGCCCCATGGTACAAACCAGGCACTCTCAGGTAGGACCTTCCTTCCCTGCTTGGGGAAAGATGCTTCTCATTAAAAATCTTGTTTCAGGGGGCACAAAAGGCAGAAGAAAATAAGTGCAAAGCAGTGAATTTACCTTTTTTAGGGGGAGTCTCCTTTGTAGGATTTACAGAGTTGTTCTGTCCCTACCATAATGCAAGGCTGAGATCCTTGTTGCTCAAATCTTTACAATCAAGGTTGAGTATTTCCCTTTCTCTAACCCAAATGGCAGCATGCCCCAGGCTGAGCCACTCAGGCTCTGCTGTGCTGCCTCACACCGTGACATGGCAATGCACTGGGGCTGGTGAGGAGCCTCAGCACCTTCTGGGGAGGTCTGGATCAGCCCATGGCATTCAGTGGAGACGTTTCCACCCCAGGGAGCTCCTGATCCCTTGAAACATTACAGCAGTCCAGGGAAGAAAAAAATCCTCTTGGCCACTGAGTGTCAGCCTCGAGTTGCACAGCTGAGATGGAAAAGGCCCTCGACTCCCATCCAGAGGAGTCTATCCCAGAGCTATGCCAGGACTGTCCCAGTCTGCTATCCCAGAGCAGCAGGAGAGTGCACTGGGGCCAGTTCCAGCCCAGCTGAGCTGAGTTACAGCACTGCAGACACAGCCAGGGACTCTGAGGTGGCTGCAGCGGGCAGGAATTCCTGTGGTGATCATTTCATTGTGAGAATAACACTGGGGAGTGTGGGCAGCTTCCACATGGTGCTGTGACAGCTTCCTGAGGCCCTGAAAAACAGGGAATGTGATTTTTAGGTGTTGACAAAAGCCACTACCCATCCTCCAGGTCAGCCACCTGGGGGCCAAAGGGAACCACCCCAGAGTCACCCAAAGGTACCCCCAAACCCAAAGGCACCAGCTGGAGCTTCATTAACCTTTGCACAGCTGTGTGCAATTAAATCACCTCCTTATTGCCTCTCACACAGAGCCTAGAGCACACTCAGTCTTCCCGAGGTCTCTCACACACAACCTGCAATCTTCAAAATGTTTTTATTCTGGCACTTTTAGTGAGGGGGGAAAGGGCAGAGATATTCCAACACCCCTCCTGTGTCCCACAGGAGCCAGAGTGTTGGTGCTGCTCTTACCAGACCCTAAACAAAAGTGCACAATCTTAAGGCAGGCATATGAAGAGGATTAGCCCTGAAGGAATTCTGAATTTCAGGATAAAGCTCAGTGTTCCCTTGGTCAGCAGCTCCCTGCATCTCAGAGCACTCACAGCTCCATCTGATGCTTCATTCCTTGGCTTTTCCCCAAGCTTTCCTGGGCTTTGTGTCACTCTGAGCCCACAGAGAATCTGATCTCCCCCACCTTTGGCTGAGGATGTTTGAAGGACAAATGCCATGCTTTAAGCCTGGCACAGGTGCATTGCATGCCCTGGAACCCCCATGAGGCTGCTCCACTCACCAGGTGTTGGCACTTAGGACATTGGGTTTGTTGGTGTGGCCTGGGGGTCTGGGAGGGACATTTGGGAGCTGCTGTACCAGTAAAAGCAAACTGGAGGTGCCAGGGGTCCTCCTCTGGGGGACGGTGCTCCTTTCGAGCTGTCCCATCTGCTTTTAGAGCCCGTGGTGCTGTTTGTGGAAGGAGACAAGGGAGGTGAGTGCAGGAGTTCTATTTTCCACTCAGTTTCCTTGGAACTCAGTTTAGGCTTTAGAGGTTGAGCCGAGTTTGGTGAGGGTGGTGATTTGGGGCAGACTTTGATGAGCACAGGCACTGCTGAGTGCTCCTGAGGTGTGAGAAAATGCAGGGCAGGAAGCCTGGCGTGGCTTTTCACTCCTGTGAAGCTGCCCCAGGTTTTTAAAGGTCTTTAAACTCAGATGTTGCCTATGTGGGGAACAAAGGCAGCTCAGCACGTCTCTTCTGGCTGTGCAGAAAACAAAGATGCAGTGATAGGATGAGAGGGAACAGCCTTGAGGGCAGGGTTAGTGGGATATTGGGAGGGAATTCCTCCCTGTGAGGGTGGGATGGGATTCCCAGAGAGGCTGTGCTCCCCTGGCAGTGCCCAAGGCCAGGCTGGACAGGGTTTGGAGCAGCTGGGACAGGGGAGGTGTCCCGGGCAGGACAGGGATGGGCTTTGGGTCCATCAGCCTCTGTCCCGCTCCTGTGCTCGAGTTCTGGCCGCGAGGTGGCATTCGGCATTCTCTGAGCTGCTCTGGCTAAGGAAAAGCAGAGCTTGCCATCTTTAATAATAACAATAATAATTAAAGGGGGGGGTGTGGGGGGAGGAAAAGCCACAAACCCTCCCTGTGTTTTCTGAAGCCCGCGACAAAGCGAGATTTGTGAGGAGGCTGCGGCTGCTCTTGGCAAACAATGCTGCTGCTTCCCGAGAGCTGCGAGGGAGACTGAGGGTCAAGTCCCTTTAAAAAAAAAAAAAAAAAGTGAAATACAGTATTGTGCATCTTGAAATCCGAAACCAAGAAACAGAAGTGCAAGGGAAACAAGAGGGAAAGTCTTGCAATTCCCGTGGACAACTGTGGCGAGTGGAGTTTTAAGGAATACAACATATATCTATAGCTTTTAATGGTCATTGGATGGCTTTTGTGGAAAAACCTGTGAAATAAAGGAGCTTTGGAAGAAGAGATTTCTTTTTCTCCTCCTCTCTGGATATAATGGCCATTGCAAAGCAAAGCATCCTGAGATTTGGCTTCAAGTGTGCCTTCCTAGCGATTTTTACACTCACCTGTGATGGGCACGGCGGGAAGAGGGAGAACGGTGGTCCTGCCTGCTACGGAGGGTTTGATTTGTATTTCATCCTGGACAAGTAAGTCAGCCCTGCTTTGTTCTTTTTCTTCGGCTAGGCAGAGCTGGAAGGGCACTCGCTGATACCGAGGAGGGTTTCTTTGCCTTTGGGTTTTGTAGGAGTCCCGTGTCCCCAGGGCACCTCTGCAGCTCCTGCAGGCTCTGTTGGTGCTGTGGTTATCGCTGTGGTTATTGCTCTGTTATCGCTGTGTTATCACTGTGTTATCTCTGTTTTCCTGTGCTCTGCGATCCCATCGGTACAGATCCCGGGACCCCTCTGCTGTCCCCGGGAGCGGGGGGCTGGGGCTCCCCGAGGGCAGGATTGGTCCTGCAGGCACCAATTCCAACACTGGGATGTGCAGAATTGTCCCTGCAGGCACCAATTCCAGTGCAGGGAGTGCAGAACTGGTCCTGCAAGCACCAATTCCAGCGCTGGGATGTGCAGGGAGTGCAGAATTGCTCCTGCAGGCACCAGTTCCAGGGCTGGGATGTGCAGGGAGTGCAGAATTGCTTCTGCAAGCAGCAGTTCCAGGGCTGGGATGTGCAGGATTGTTCCTGCAAGCACCAATTCCAACACTGGGATATGCAGAATTGCTCCTGCAAGCACCAATTCCAGGGCTGGATGTGCAGGATTGCTCCTGCAAGCACCAATTCCAGGGCTGGGATGTGCAGGGAGTGCAGAACTGCTCCTGCAAGCACCAATTCCAGCACTGGGATGTGCAGAATTGCTCCTGCAGGCACCAGTTCCAGGGCTGGGATGTGCAGGGAGCTCTGCTCGTGTCCCTGTGCCCCCTCAGCTGTGCCCAAAGCAGCAGCTTTGGTACAAACCAGCCCAGAGAGGGGCTGCTCCCTTCGGAGGGGGCTGCATTCAGCTGCTGGGATGGAGAAGGGCTCGAGTGCCTCATTTAAAGAGCTTTATTTTCCCTAGCTGAGTCACACTTCCTTTGTTTCTTCTGTTAATCAAATGCATACTTTGACTGTTTAGCTGTTTGTGCTGGAGATAACTTCCTACCTCACTTTTTCATCGCTAATTGTGGCACTGTCACCTCCTTGGCGCTGTAGGAGTGCTGCTTTTTTCCAGTGTGGATGGAGCAATGTGGAATCATTTTGTGCTGAGCTTTGCAAAGCTTCTTACTAAAGCAATTCAACAATTAAAAAAAAAAAAAACAACTCTAAAAGGTACTAGCTGAAATGACTGTCCTGATTTTCTTGATCAAGAGCAGTTCTTTTGAACCAAAGGCTTGGAAATACTGGAGGTGGTGCCTGCCAGAGCCATGGCACTGACATTAATAACCATAAATTTCAGAGACAGGAAAGTATTTGCACATTGCCAAAAGTGCTCACAGATGAAGTTTCTGACTGATCCTCTGGGGTGTTTTGCAGTAGCTCCCACATTCCATTCGTATAAATGACTTGGAATTACATAACCCTTCCTCACAAAATACTGGGTAAATCTAACAGAGACACCGGCCACCTCAGTGTGCCAGTTGTCCTGATGCTCCAGGGGGAAGATTTATTTATTTTATTGAGTGGAAAGGTCTACCTGGCTTCCTCATTTCCAGTTATTAATTGGAATAACTCTATTGCTGCAAATGGAAAAACCCTGTACCCAAACAAACCCAGGGCATGATTTGTAGTGCAGAGAGCTTTTGTCAGCTGCATTCCCTGGAAGCTGAAGCAGGACTGAAGGATTTCTCAGATCTCATGGACGTGCTGTGTTCCACCTCTGAGCTAATGTAACTTCAGCAGGTCCTTAATTCAAGTTCTGTGCTGCTCCCCCAGTAAAATCCAGGACTTCTGAGCTTTGCTCACAGGGTTGTGGATCTGGGTGGAAACACAAGCCTTGGCACAAGCTTTAAAGCAGGCAGGCTGGCCCCAGTGTGGGATCAAGGTATCCCACAAAAACTCTGCTTTGACATTGCTCAGCTCCTCTTCCTGGGATTTTTCTGGTGCAGAAATGAGCAGGATCTGCTGTAAAAATTTCCTTGGTCTCCAGTGGAATTCTGGAGGAGCATTGTGGCTTTTCAGCTGTTCCTGGGTACAGTACACCACTGGACCTGGCTGTTTAAGCTCTGGTGAGAGATTTACTGTGGTGGAGCTGGTTATCACATTGCCTTTAACACTGATGGAATCACAGAATGGTTTGAGCTGGGAGGTCTTTAGAGATCATCTGGCTCCACCCCATGCCATGGGTGAGGAGCCTTCCACAGACCGTGCCTCTTGTCCTTGCTGGCAAAATCTCACACTGTGTCTATTTTCTCAATTTAGTCTCAAGCTTCATGTTATTTGGAGTGGCTTTATGTTATTTGGAGTAGCTGTTTGTTATTTGGAGTAGCTGTTTGCTGTTTGGAGTTGTGACTTGCTCTTTGGAGGAGCTGTTTGCTGTTCAGGGTCGTGTCCTGTTTGCAGTTTGGGTTCTGTGCAGGTGCTGAGCACCTCAGGGTGAAGGTGACACCAAGACAAGCCCAGAGCTGTGGAAGGTAGGCCTGGTTTACTTTGGGAGAGCTGGCCCAGGGTGGCCTCTCCTTTTGTGTTCTGCGGTGCTGAGAGGATTTGTGGGTTCAGGCTCCACACACTGGAGGAGTTGGTGCCAAGGAATCAACAGCAGGCTGCAAATTAAGATACAGAACAATGAGGAAGCAGTGAGATGTTGCTAAAAAAGCCCAAATGTTTGTCCTTACTGAGAAATTGTCCAGCTATTGTAAAAATGCTCTCTGGATATTGATTAATGCTCACACAGAGCTGACCTGCAGTGAGCAAAGCTCCCCTCCCCAGCACAGCTGGAACATCCCAGGCTGGTGCCTGCACCCAGAGCCAGGTGTGCATTTGGCTGGGATGGAGGAGCTTGCAAGGATGTGCAGGGATGATTTTTCTCTGTTAGCGTGAGGGCTGAGGGATGCCAGCAAGGCAGGGTGGAGAAATTTGTGCATTTCTGTGTCTTTTTGCCTGAAGGAACGTAATTAACTCCCAGTCCTGCCAAGGGCAGGCAACTGCAGTGAGCTGAGCTCATGTGTGCAATCCCTGCCAGAGTCAGGACCGTGGATGTGTTTTTTACCCAGTGCTGCCTCTGGATGAAGCATTCCTTGGTGACAGGAATGGGCAGGAGCTCCCCTCCAGCCAGGCCCGAGTGTGTGCCTGCAGCACTCTGCACTCTCCCTGCTGATTGATGCAAATTAACTCATGCCTACTTGCTTATTAGCTGTTTTTTTGGTGGTTTTTTTTGCATACCCCCTCTGGCCATTCCAGAACAAGGAATGTTCTTGGACTGAGGCTGGGCTCAGAGGCTTGTCCTGCTCTGACCCTGTGGATCTGTGACCTGCAGGGCTTGGCACTGAGTGTCTGCTGTGAAGTGTGGCAGGAGATAACAGCGTTTCCTCCAAGAATTGCATCACCTCTGGGACGCCTTTGTGCTATGGAGGGATTTCAGGATTGCTCCTGGAGCATTTGGAAAGATAAAGGATGCTTTTGGGCTCATTTGTGTTGTTTTGTGCCTGATTCTGTGACCTTCTGGACTGTGACCTGGATAAACCCACGGGTATGAGAAGGTTCCACAGCAGAAATGGAAAAGTGGAGTCTAAAAAGTGCAAGGAAGGCCAAGTCTAGGGAGGCTTTGGGTTCTGGAGCATCCTGTCCCAGTGGGGAGGAGGAGGGCACCTGCTGAAGGACAGGGCTGCCTGGAGCCACTGCAGGTCCCTCTCAACACCTGCATTCCCTCTGGGGTACAAAATGCCAGTGGAGATGGCCACAGAGTGTCTCACTCTCCTGTTAAAGAGAATGGTTCACTTGGGTTTAATTTCCATTTATTGGGCCCTTCTCCAGAAGAGATTTTGGCATCTTCAGGATGAGTCTTTTCTTAAATTGCAAGTTTAAAGTATCAGCCATTCAGCTGCGAAGCCTTGGCTCACTGATCTTGTTTCTTCTGGGAATATGAGGAGAGAACTATTTGAAAATTGGCTTTTCTTATCTTACAGTTGGACTTTAGAAATACTCGTCCTTCTCAGAGTTCTTGGCCTGCCTCACTGTGCAGAGGAGGTGTCTTTCACAGAGCGGTGCTGAGTGACACAGCTCAGGGAGGTGGGCACTGGGAGCTAAGGCTGCTTTTGTCAGCTTTGCACTGGCTGCAGAAATGTTGGTTGATTGGGTTTGTCCATTTTAGGCCGAGTGAAGAACGTGAGAAGTCTGAAGGGTGTTTTTCAGAAAATGCATTTTATTTACACGGAGAGCTTTTCCCTAAGTGCAGGCCTGGCAGAAATGAACTCCAGGCAGGTTGGGCTGGCCCGGGTGGGAATTGCTGTGCAGGAAGGACAATGTGTGCTCAGCCAAAGTGGGAACTTGGATTTTGGGCCCCTGTCCCAGCTTCCTCTGGTAGAGATGGGGAACAACTGGATTGCAGATTACTCCAGTGATCCCACTCCTGAAACTGAGCAGAAAGCATCCTCCCTTGGTGGGCAGAGAGGGTTTGGGTTGGTGATTGTAGCAGTGGCAAGAACTTCCCTGGAAGGCTGGTTCACCTGGAGGCTGGGAGGAGGTTGGGCAGGGGCTGTGGGTCCCAGCTCCTCGTGTCTGCCACCAAACGGGTCAGGAAATGTGGGACCCTCACTCAGGTGTGCTCTTTGGGAGGCGAATCCATGGTCTAAAGTAACATTTGTTTATCTGAAGCAAGGACTAGCTCATTTCTGATTGACCAAGCCTTGCCTCTCCAAGTCCTCTGGAGACTGATGCGACCCTTGCTGTAAAGTCAAGTGGTTTTTATGCCTCACCATCTAAAGACAATAAATCTTTTCCAGGCCAGTTCTAGGAAATGATTTGGGACTGGCGGCCCGTGGAATTCAAGCTCTCTGAGTTATCCCATACATCCAAGGGGAATTTGCACCTGGGGCTGAGCTCTGTGTGTCTCTGCTCTATCAATTTGGGGTTTGCATGCAGCAGGGTTTGAGTTTCCTGCCTGAGAGCAAGTCCTGATGCTGTCACCCCTCACCTCTTAGGATGCCAATTTTCTCACTGTGTGGTTTAATTGGTGTATCAAGAGTTTTGCTGTTCCTTTGTTCCTCTGATTAACATCTGAGTGGGGAAGGAGCCATCGAGTTGTGTCCTGGTCTGAGGAAAGAAAGGAAGGAAGAGTTCAGCTCTGAGAGCATCTGCTGATGATCCTGCCTGCTCTGCCATCAGGGTGTCTCTAAGGCCAGCCTTAAACTCATCCTAAACTTTTGGGCTCCAGTCCTTTGTGCAGCAAGGCACAGGGTCACACTTTCTGCACAGGGCCTGGATTTTTTTTCCTCATTTGGGCCCATTTGGGTTATATTTGAAGAGCCCAATAAAGAGATGCTGCACAGCTTCACAGGTAAATGTCATCTCTGCATGGCTGATGGGGGTCAGGCAGGGAAAGAGCAGCTCCAGGAACTGTGGGGCAGGAGGGAATGGCTGAGAAGGAAAATCAGGTGTGGGGAAAGGGGCAGGAAATGTCTGGGAGCCCCAGGACGAGCTCTGCGTGCTCCTGGTGCCTCTGCATTAAATTAATTACTGCATTAAATAAACAATAATCAAAGCAACAAAGCAGAGCATTGCATCCTGTTGCTATTGCCTGAGCAGCCAGGCTGGGGACCTGCCCTGCTCTCCACGGGCACTCCCAGAGCTGAGCCAGGACAGAACTGCTCCTTTGCCTTTTCTTCCTGGGAAGTGGAAATCCATCTCAAGCCTTCATCTTTTCTTCCTCAGGCTGCAGATCAATGAAGTTTGTGTTGCAGCTGGAATGGTTATTTCCACTATAAATATTTCTAATTGTACTCAGTGAATTGAATAAGTGATGACACATTTATTTTCCAACTCTAGGAAAGAAATTTTTTTTTTCAATATTAATATTCCAGTGTTCACAGAAGTGTTTATGCCAGAAGGGGCATTTTGTGCTGAAAGATTCTCATTAACCTAATTTTTTCCTCGTTCTTACAACATAAAGAAGAATAATCCAACCCCATTACATCCTCTGGTTTATTCTCCTGAGGAGCAAAGTTAGTTTGTTTTGTCTTTAGCTGAGGTGTGAAAGAATTAACCAGAGCAGTTGAGATGTGGACTAAGGTGTTTTACTTTCATAGTCTCTGGCACAGTGGAAACACTGGAGGAGTTTAATAATCTGTTCCTCCAACTGCATGTAATTCTCAGAACACACTCGAGCTAAAAGCTCTGTGTAATGGTTTGGAAGTGAGTGGGTGGAATTAATCTAAAACATGGTGCAGAGAAACAGCTCCTCACACTCACAGGGTTTATTTGGTTAAGGCTCTGTTAAAGCCCAGCCTAAATGCCATGAGCCACTGCCAAGGGCAGCCTCAAACACTTGCCTGGAGCAGGAATTATTCCTGCTTTTTAAAGGTAAGTGGGAAATGTCAGTTCCAGCTTGGTCTCTTTAAAGAAGAGCATGGGCAGCTGAACAAAGCAGGAGCAATGCCTCACGGAGCAGTGTGGGACAGAAAGGTGACCCTGACGTGTCCTGTGATCCTTGTGTCCCCAGGTCAGGCAGTGTCCTGCACCACTGGAACGAGATCTATCACTTTGTGGAGCACCTGGCCCGCAAGTTCATCAGGTGAGGAGGGCTCAGGTCCCTGCTGGGCTCTGGAGAGCTGCCAGTGCCTCCCAGTCCCAGCACTGCTGCTGCCCAGGGGGAAAAGTGCTGGAGAGAGAGCTCCTGGTGCTTCCTCCCACCCTTCATTGATGCTCCTGGTGCTTCCTCACTCCCTCCATTGACTGATCCTGGTCCTTCCTCACACCCTCCATTGACTGCTCCTGGTGCTTCCTCACACCCTCCATTGACTGATCCTTCCTCACACCCTCCATTGACTGATCCTGGTGCTTCCTCACACCCTCCATTGACTGCCCCTGATCCTTCCTCACACCCTCCATTGATGCTCCTGGTGCTTCCTCACACCCTCCATTGACTGATCCTTCCTCCCACCCTCCATTGACTGCTCCTGGTGCTTCCTCACACCCTCCATTGATGCTCCTGATTCTTCCTCCCACCCTCCATTGACTGCTCCTTCCTCACACTCTCCATTGATGCTCCTGGTCCTCCCACCCTGCATCCTTGACAAGAATTCCCCAAGGCTTCCCTGGCCTGAGAGGGGCCTGGGCAAAACCCGTTTTCATCCTGTGGAGTTGTGACTGGGCTGCAGAGTGTGATTGTATTACCCACACAGAGCTCTGCCCACGTTAATTCACTTTTTTCTCTCCTCCAGCCCTCAGCTGAGGATGTCCTTCATCGTTTTTTCAACCAGAGGGACGATTCTAATGAGGTTAACAGAAGACAGGTAAGGAGAGGTTTAAAGGTCAACAGCAGCTTCTTCCCTCATCTTCCTCAGTGATTCCCATCCCACTGGGAACGTGTTGTGGCGCCTCTGTGCTTCCCAGTTTCACTGGTAGAGTCCCGTGCCCATCCTCAGCTACCAGAATGCACTGAGGTCTCAAGGCAGAGCTTCCCTGCTCCATTTCAGCTCCCAGAGGTGCTCCAGCCAGGCTCTCAGCTCCCCCTGCTTTCCCTGAGGGACTCAGGATTTTGTCAGAGAAGCAGAGACTCGGTGGAACATCCCCTGGGAGTTTATCCTGAAAGAGGTGAAATTCCCTTCCCACAAAAACAGGCTTGGAGGGCAGAGGTGACACCCACGCTCCTGGGGCGGGGGGAATGTGGTTTCCTGGAAGGTCTGAAGGTGTGTCACAGACAAAGGGTGTCTGGGGTGGATTTTTGGGCACTGGCAGATTGCTTTGTTTGTGAAGCGTGTCCCTGCCACCCCCTTACAGACCCCCAAGTTAATCCCAGTAAAACCTACAGGATGGATTTTTTTTTATTATTATTATTTTATTCTGACTTCCAAGGAGAGCTGGATGAGGTCCTTAAATCGCTCTCGCTTCCTCTGTTAACTTCATTGCCACGTGGAGCAGAAATATACGTACCACATGTGTGCAGTGTAGGAGTCAGCATGTGTTTTACATATTGGATGTCTGAAATCACATTCCAGAGCAGCTGGCTGCCTTCCTGCAGAGCAGTGCACACTCACACCAGCCTTGAAAACCTCCCAAACCCAGCCAGCCTGAGCCTCTCCTGCCACTTTCTGCAGCAGCAGGGATGAAGAGAATGAGCCACATTTATTTCACCGGGTGCCAAAGCAAAACCTGTTCCTGCCTCCTGCTGTCCCACCCTGGGAGCAAACCCCAGTGCAGGGATCTCCTTTCTGCTCAGGCTCTGAGCTGTGAAATGCTCCCATGTGGGGCTGTAGTCCATATTTTGTGTTCCATATTTGCCCAGCTGGCCCAGAAGTGCTGGCTGGGAGCAGATTTTGCTGTGGGATGGTTTCAGAGCCAGCTCACTGCTGGGTTTTACCTGGCACTGCCAAACAAGGGCTGTGCTGGGCTCTGTCACCTGGGAGTGTGTGGGTATTGCCCTGGGGATGGTGCTGCTGTGCTGCTTTCCCAGGCACTGGGAGCACTGGGAGCACTGGGAGCACAGCTCTGTGTTCCACATCCTTGGAGAGGCACTGGGGTGACTCTTGTTCTGCAGTCTCTGTGCCTGGCTGTGCCCTGCCAGGACCTGCTGTGTCCATCAGCCACCTATGCTGGCTGCCAGGACCTGCTGGTGCCTTTGCTCCTGGTTTAACAGTGCCTGCCAGGACCTGCTGGTGGCTTTGCCCTGACAGTGCCTGCCAGGACCTGCTGGTGCCTTTGCTCCTGGTTTAACAGTGCCTGCCAGGACCTGCTGGTGCCTTTGCTCTGACAGTGCCTGCCAGGACCTGCTGGTGGCTTTGCCCTGACAGTGCCTGCCAGGACCTGCTGGTGCCTTTGCCCTGACAGTGCCTGCCTTCCTTGCAGGGAGCAGATCCGCCAGGGCCTGGAGGAGCTGCAGAAGGTGCTGCCAGGAGGGGACACGTACATGCACGAAGGATTTGAGAGGGTAAGTGGGGCAGCTGGGGGCTGAGCAGGGTCTCTGCTCCTCAGGAGCTGCACAAGGCTGGGGCTGGTTGGGAATTCCCTGCTGGGTGAGTGGGACCCCGTCCCTTTGCTGCAGCAGTGCAGGGGGGGTAAGGGCTCCATGCTGGAGCTGCAGACAATGCCAATTCTCTTTATTTCTGCCTTTTCTGCTTTGGGGGAGGCAGTGGCACTGGGTCCAGGAGGGGTGGGAAGCTTCAGTCCTACCTGGGCTGAGCGGGGAGAGGTCACAGCTCACACCTGGGGTGGCCAAGTAACTGCAGACCTTATTGCCTTCTCCTTCTGGGCATGTTTTTGCCATATTTGACAAGCTCAGGAGTTTCTCTAAAGCTGAGCTCCTGCATTCCTCTGTCCCACGTGGGTATTTGGGAGAGGTTTGAACTGTTGAAAGTCTGTCCCATCACTGAAAAGTGAACCTGGGGGGACCCAGCAGAGCTGCTGTTTGTTTGCAGTTGGAACAGCTGATCTGGAGCTGCTGAGGAATATTTAGCACTGGGCCCAGGATGCTCCTCAGGGATGAAAGTGGATAGGGTTTTCAGGGAGGAGAGCAGTGGGAGACAGCTCTGGGCTCGGTTTGCTGATGAGACCTTGCAGGAATGCAGTGAAAACCCCAGGCAAGAGCCCTGCTCTGTGAGTCAGGGGTCAGAAATTAGAGCTGTGTGTGAGCTGCAGATGTGACACCCTCGCTGCCACTGTCCCCTCCTTTCTGCTGCACAACTTGTTCACAAGGTCCTACTGTTGATTTATTACTAATAATCTGCTCTGATTTCAGGCAAGTGAGCAGATTTACTACGAGAACGTTCATGGTGAGAGGCCTTCTTGATCCACTGAATGCTTTTTTTCTCTTTCTTTTTGATTGATAACTTTAACAGATCTAAAATGCAGCTTTGCTGTGGGAAGGGTGGGGGTGGCTTCTATTCTTGCAGCTATGAGGTGCTAGTCAGGGAAGTATTCCTGAAGGGGGAAAACAACAAGTGGAGCATTAAGGAGCTGGAATTAAAGTGTTTCAGGCCAAAAGGGAGAAGCCAGGCTGGCTGCAGGTGCCCACCCTCACCAAAACTGGTACCTTACTTTTTCTGGAGGGCTCAGGCAACCATCTCTTCCTCCTTCTGAAACACAAATACGTGTTACAAACCAGTGCTAAGTGCAGACAACTGGAAAAATGTCCTTTCCTTCCCTGTAATTGATGTCAAAACTTTCTGGTTTGGAAGGGAAGGCTGCAAAGGTTTAATGATGTTCCTGAAGTGTTGCTCAGGAATTTTGAAGATTTTAGGCCCTTTCCCCACCATCTTCATTTAAATCCCAACCAAGCTTTTTATCACAAGCTGAAAAAGGATTTCTTGAAGTGACAGCATGAATAAAATCAGGAGCTAACTAGGAGCAAAGTGCACCAAAAAAACTCTGGTTTTTGGTGGCTGCAGTCTGGTTCCCTGGTGTGCAGTAGCAGCAGGGTTATGCCCTTGGGGCAGGATGTTTTCTGAGGTGTTTGAACAAACCGACCAAGGGCAGGGACTGAGGAGGTTTGTGTGTTCAGGTTACAGAACTGCCAGTGTCATCATTGCATTGACAGATGGAGAGCTGCACGAAGATCTCTTTTTCTACTCGGAGAGGGAGGTAAGTGACTTGCACCTCGCAGTCAGGGAGGCACTGCAATGTCTGGGCTTGCTGCTGGGAATGCCAAAGATGAGGAAAACCTTTTCCCCAGTGAGGAACCTCCACTTTGGTGCTCTGCAGACACAATTTAAAGGATAACCACTGACAGCAGCAGCCTCTGAGTCGCCACAGCTGAGACTGTTCAGGGCAAGGGAGAGGGGTTAAAACTTCCAGTTAGAAATAAACATAGGAGAAGGAATTGTTCACAGCTGAAAAGTTTCAGTATTTACTGGGTTGCTCTGGGAAATGCTGGATATTCTCACTTTCACTTTTTTTTCCCTCTCACACAAAGTCAGGACTGCAGAAAGAGAGTGGTGGCTTCTGTCACATCAGAAAACCTTTCAGATCACCCATCTGACATTTCACAAATATCTCTGAGACTCAAGCACACATTCTCAACATCCTCATTAAATTAGTGACCTGTGCAAAATGTTGAACAGTGGGGTGAGCATTGAGGGCTCTGCTGCAGAAGGTTCCTCTGGACATTTGGCACTTGTCAGTCAGAGCGGGATGATCTAAACTTGGCAGAGGGAATTTCTGCATGAGTTTGCTATGGACAGAATTTTTCCTCCTGGTCTGTCCAAAGTGCAGCATTAAATCCAATAACAACAAAAGGAATGGGTTTGTAGAGCAAAACCAATATTGCTCCAGCAAATCCTGAATCTCCAGCTTAAGCTTAGAACTTCCTAATATCTCGCTAGATGTACTTTTCTGTACTTTAGGGAGTAATTCTAGACTATTTACTGACAAATAGAACAATTTCTATTTGTCCTTTTCTACTTCTTGTGTCATTTTTCTGCTGACAAATCGTATGGCTACTGCTCAGCTCTGCTTGCAGTGGTGCTGTCCCTGAGGCTGCCTGCTGAGCTTTCCCAGCCCTGTGATTTTAGGCTTGCCCAGGTCCCAGCCCGTTGGTGACCCTGCTCTGCTCCTGTCCCGTTGCAGGCGAACCGCTCGCGGGACCTGGGGGCCACCGTGTACTGCGTGGGGGTGAAGGACTTCAACGAGACCCAGGTGAGGAGCCTGCTCCCTGAGAGCCTGGCAGAGCCTGGCAGAGCCTGCCCACAGCCCTGGCTCCCTGCTCAGGGCTGCTCGGGGCTTTTCCTCTCCTTCTGTTCCTGTGGGGTGAGCACCCGGCATGGCTGGGTCTGCCCCTTGGCCCTGGTCCCTCTGTGCCCCTTGGCCCTGGTCCCTCTGTGCCCCTCGGCCCTGGTCCTTTTCTGTTTGAATCTGCCCCTCTGCCTGCCCCAGCCACTCTTCCAGCACTGGGGAACACCAAATTGTCTGGCCTGACTGGAGGCAGGAGGAAGCTGTGGGGATGCTTTTGGCCTGAGCTGGAGGAAGCTGTGGGGATGTTTTTCCCCATAAAACTGAAGCATTGCCATAAAACCCTTCAGCTTCAGTGCAGCTTTTCTTTCAGGGCAAAGCCATGCTGCAAAAAGCCAACAGCTTCATTAGTGAGAAATAGTTCACAGGGCTTTGTGTGACTTCTGAGTTCCTCATTTGAACGTTAGTATGTCAGTGAATTCTATTTCAACTGTAGCAGTTGACATTTTTCTAATGGGAGAGAAGCACCTGCACACAAGCAGAAGCTGGGAGATTTTTTCCAGGTTTTTTCAGCTTTCAGAAAAGGAGTCAAAGCAACTTGGTTTAGAACAACCTCCCTTGAATCAAACCCAGAGACTGGTGTAACCCAAAATAAGTCACAGAAAAAGCAAAGAGGGGATAAAAATGGCACAGAGAGCAGACCTGAAGCAGCAGACCCCAGACATGCCTCCTTGGAGGCATTGAGATGGTGAAAAAATGAACTGGAATTCCATGGCTGTGCCTGAAATCCCAGAATGGTGAGGATTGTGGGGAGTGAGCTGAAGGAGCTGTGAACATCCAGCTTTTTTCCAGCAGCCCAGGCAGCACCAGCTGCTCCCCTGCCCTCCTGGAGCAGCAGGGAAGGTGCCCCAGGCTGGCTCTGGGTGCCAGGGCAGCCCCTGGGCGTCGGGAGCAATCTCTGGCTGCTCTGCTGCCTCCAGGAAGCTGCAGAGAGGCTCTGGTACCTCTGCCAGGGAGATTTACTGGAACAAACCCTGGCCTTGCAGCACTGCAATGAGTGCTCCAGCAGATGCATGGAGAGCTCATTACTGCTGGGCTGAGAGCTCTGCCTTAACCCTTGGGGTGCTGCTGGCAGCTGAAGCTGCAGGCAGATGATGGCCAGGCTGCCCTGAACTCACCAGCTCCTCAGGAAGGAGGAGGAGGATGATGGTCCTTGCTCCTCATCACAGGGGTTTCTGAATGCTCCTCTGGGACCTTTCAACCTCCGCTCAGAAAAATCCCCGGTGTCTCCCTGACTCCTCTCTGCTGGCTGAGCACAGGCCCAGCACCAAATCTCTGTCCTGGCAGGAGAGGTGAATCAGGCCTATGGTATCATTTCAAAGAATTGTGGAGGAGTTAAGGCTGGAAAAGACCTCCATGATTATGGAGTCCAACCTTGTTTGGGTTCCACCTTTGCCCTAAACCTCATCAGCCCCTGGGGTACCAGAGAACGCCACGCTGCTGATGCAGAGCTTTATAAAGAGCTTTATAAAGCCAACCAGGCCAACAAGACACTTTACTGCTTAATAAACCACAATGCAGTGGCAATCCAGAGAGAGCAGTGCAGTATTTTAGATTTTTGCGAGCGAGTTCATCTGGAGAATCTTCATTTGCTGCCTGCTGGCTAATTGATCTCACCCTTTGCTTTCTGTTCCATTTCTCTGGCCGTGCAGCTGGCCCGGATTGCTGACAGCAGAGATCACGTCTTCCCCGTCAACGATGGCTTCCAGGCCCTGCAGGGCATCATAGACTCTGTGAGTACCTTCACCCGGGGTCTGCACTCTGCTGTCACCCCGAGGTTTGCTTTTCCTGTGTCTGCAAGGACCCGCTGGAAAATAATTCACTGAATCACCCAGTGCAAGGGAAACAACCTTGCTTTGTACTAAAATGCCACTTCAAGGTGGGGTTTATCAGTAGGTGCCTGGATTTCCCTGCTCCCAGTTCCTGTGGTGCCTTGGGAAGGCTGAGCTGGAGCAGAGTTACAGAACAAAGCAGGGATTTATTCACAGCATCTCCTCAATGGGCAGCACAAGAGCCCAGCCAGGGCTGCACCCAAGATGAACCAAAATGGTCACAAAATGAGCCCAAGATGAACCAAAATGGTCACAAAATGAGCCCAAGGTGAACCAAAATGGTCACAAAATGAGCCCAAGATGAACCAAAATGGTCACAAAATGCACGACTGCTCACAGGGTCTGTCACTTTGATCAGTTCTGCTCCATTTGCATATTGGGGTTAATTGTCCAATTCCAGCTTTAGGTTATGCAGTCCCATCCTCCTTGTTTTTCTCTCTTCATTCCACGCTGTTTGTGCCCTTGGGCTGAGATTTGGGTGGTTGTCCTCGGTCCCCAGCTGGAGCAGGAATTGTTTTGTCTCCCTGCTCTGTGAAGAGAGCTCACAGCACTTAAGGTGCAGCTCAGAGCTGCACACTAGGGCAGCACAGAACCTGAAAAACACAGAAGTTAAAAGTGAAAGCATCTCCTGGCATTTCCTGCAGGGATTTGGTGCAGGATGTGAGAGCTCCAGTGGCTGGGCTGATCTGGGGGCTTCCCCTGGCTCCAAAGGATGGGAAATCCCTCTGGGGCCCTGTGTGCTCTGATTTTGGGTGACCAAACCCAGATGAAAGCTCCAGTGTGGAGCTGGGGAGGGGGCACTCTCCGGGGGCTCAGATTTCTGTGTTTACAGTGGTTATGTGCTATTTGGACAATGCAGTTCCAGCAAAACCCTTCCCTCAGCACAGGCTCAGTTTCTCCCATGGACATGGAACCCAATCCTGGTTTATTGGTTTTCCTGGCACTGCCTGAGCCTGGATCTTGTGCCTCAGCTCTCTTGGACCATCAGGTGTTGCATGTCATTTCGGAAAGCAGCACAACAACAACAAGAAGGCAGCAATGCTTTGCTTCCCAGCCCTGCATTCCCTTTGCAGCTGTTTTTAATGAATTCCAGCTCTGGCTCCCTTTCCCGTAGTACTGAGCAGGGTTCCAGGCTCCAGGCAGGCAGTCAGGAGCTGCTCCAGCTGAGTGCTGAGATGTCCCAGCTTGGGCAGGGGGTCACGGGGAAGGGACAGGGCTGGCTCTGAGACCTGAGCGCTGCAGAGGAGTCCCTGCAGCAGCCTGGGGAGAAGGGAGGTGGTTCTGTGTGTGAAAGGAATGACAGGAGGGCATTAATCACTCCAGAGAATAACAATCTGTAGATTCCTGTTCTAGCTGGAAAATCGGGTCCCTCTTCCCTGGTTTTGTCCCCCTTGCCAAAAGCCCCCCTGTGCTGGGGGTGTCTGTGGTCACAGGGAATGTTAAATGGTGAAAGGGCCCTGGGATCTGGCAGCTTCCTTCAGCTCCTGTGCAAGAGCTGGCACAGCAAGGATGAGAGGCTGGAGCAGGCTGATGTCACGGGGGAAGGAAGGAAGGATGCAGTGATGGGCTTGGATCAGCTCAGGAGATGTGCACACCTGCCCCTGTGTGGGATTTGGGGAGAGCTGCCCTGCCTTTCCTGTCCTGGCTGGGTCTTTCCTGGCCCTCTGCCTGGGCAGGTGGGTTTGGAAGTGCCCCTGGAGCAGCTCCCAGGGTGGAGCTGGGGGTGGTGGGGCTCGGCTGGACCTGCTGGGCAGAGGAGCTGGGGGTGGTGGGGCTGGAGCGTTCCTGAGCACCTGCCCTTCCTCTTCTGGGGGAGCCAGAGGGGCTGAGCAGCTGCAGGAGATCTGCTCCAGGAGCTCCAGCACGGACTGACCCCTCCCAGCCCTGGAAAGTGAGAGGAAAATCCAATCCCACACTGAGCTCATCCTAAGCACAATTCTTCAAGTGCATGTTCGGTGCACCATGGGGTATGGTCCTTTCTCTCCCATGAGTTCCAGTGTGACTTTTTTATTAGGTAAACCAATTTTTTTTCCTTCCTCATTGTGCAAAAGCCACTGCTAAACCTCCAGCCTCCCCCAGTTAAGGACTGAGTGGTTTGAGTTTGTCAGGAGGGAACAATCTGGAGCAGAAGCAGATTTGACTGATTGCTGCAGGCTGGGGAACAAATGGAAGGAACTGAAATATTTCATTGAATTTTCCTTTGCTATGCAAAATTTCTGAAAAAGATCACAACCCATCAATTTAAAGCAATTGAAGCTAGTCTTAGAAGAAAACCTGAAATTCAACCTAATCTCCTGCCCAGAATGGCTTTGGTAGGAGTGCTGGAGGCAAGGAACACGAGGCAAGGTGACAGGATGGGATCCTGTCGTCACCCTGCTGTGACAGGAGCAGCTCCTGGGACAGGAAATCTCCTGATCCTTGTTGTGTGTTAAACCAGGGCACCAGCCTGGAGCTCATCTCAGAGCTGTGAGGGATGAGAAATGAACAGCACCGAGCAGGCTGTGGCACTGGCTGGTGTCTGCATGAATGCACAAGTGGTTCATCTTTTCATTTAATTCCTGTGTGCTCCTTTTGGGTTCACCCTTTCAGGTTTAACTTCTGTGTGCTCCTTTTGGGTTCACCCTTTCAGGTTTAATTTCTGTGTGCTCCTTTTGGTTTCACCCTTTCAGGTTTAATTTCCAAGTGCAAATTCCATGCTGGACTTTGCATGTTTACCAGCTGATAACCTCATTTGCACAGAGTGTTCCTTGTTAATTTTGACAGTGTAGGATCAGCTTTCTGCTTCTTTCTTCCCCCAAATGCACCTTTAAGGAGGACTTGAAGGTATTTATTTTACTTAGCTCATGTAGATATTATTGGACAGGAAACACTCCATAAATAAATGGCTGTTTTCTAATTGGCAACAGACTTTGGCATTCAGTAATTGAGCAGAGCTTGCTAATGAGCACCTGGCATCAGACTGCAGGTCATTACCACTGACACTAATTAGGCAGCAACCTTCTCTTACACTTCAGCATCCTGCTAGCTAATTAGAATTCCCAGATTTGGTGGAAAGGATGTCTAAGGAGCAGGCAGCTGCTGTGCTGGAGTGATCCTGGCTGGGTGCTCCTGGTGAGCAGAATATCAAGTGAAAGCTCCCAGCAGCTGCAGAATTTCACTGCCCTTCTTGCCTTGGCTTCCAAAGTGACCTCCTGGGCCTCACCTGGCAGAGAGGGAACTGGGCAGGAGCTGGATCACCACCCTGCCGTGGGATCTGCTGCTGTGTTGTTTAGGTGTGGAAACAGTTCTTGAAAAACAAAGACCGTGCACTGCAAGTGAGGAACAGGCCATTGACTCTTCAGCTGCAATGTACAGACATTTTTGATAAATACTGACCACCTTAACACTTAAATGGAATGACAGGTTCAGAGTTCCACACAGTTCACTATGAAAACAGCATGGCAAGTTACATAAAAGCTTCAACTTCAAGGATCCTTGCTTTTTTTTGTTAAATTAATTACTTGGTTAGAAAAGAGAAAGAATCTGCGATTCTGTGACATAAAGGGTTTGTTTTGGGGTTTTTGGGTTTTTTTTTTGCAATAGTTCTGCCTTTTGCAGTAATTCTGCCTGATGTTCACTTTAAGTTAGGGTGTGTTGGAATGTTGGAAACTTAATCTAATGTTGGAGACTTAATCTAAATCAAAATAAATATTGCAGTTGGCACTGTGGAAGTGTTTAAGGGCAGATTTTATAGTCATGTAAAGGGATTAGACTGGGCTGGGAGATCTGCACCATCCAATTCAGACACCTGCTTTCTCCCCTCCAAGCTGCCTTGCAGCAGGAATGTTTGTAAATAGCTGAGCAGAAGTCATTAATCTCAAATTTAATCATGTGGGGTTTTACTTCATTGAAAAAAGTGCTGATTGTATCCTACATTCTCTGTGCTTTTCCTTATCCTGTCTATTTAAATTCTTCTATTTTAAATTCTTCTCAGTTCTGTTCTCAGCTGTTGACTTTCTCTTTTTTTCCACTTGACAGTTCCTGTAAAAGCTTGTTCCTGCAAATCTCCTCTCTCCTCAGCGGTCAGGCTGCCACCAGCTCAGACCATCCTGCCTCCTTCAGCCCCTTGGTACTTTCAGCCCTGCTTTCTGAGTAAAACTTCTGTTTAAACATTTTAAAAAGCAAAGCCTGGCTCTATGAGGAGCTTTTGCAATTAGGAATTTGAGGCAGGGCACTGTGACTGTGGAGGAAAAAAAAAAAAAAATTCTCTTTTCCTTGCAGGGTTTATTGTATTGGTTGCTGCTCTGTCCTCACAGATGTTTCAATTTAAAGTTGGGAAAATAGTTTTCATGCTGGATTTGAGTCACCAAAGGATGCTTGGCTGACATTTGCTTGCCTCTTGGAGCTGAGCTGAGTTTTGCTCGGTGTCCCCTGGTGCAGGGGCTGGGGCTGAGCCCCCCGAGCTCTGCCCAGGCTCAGCTCTGGAATAAACACCAAATAAATCCTCTGCCCTCAGAGCCCAGCCTGAGCCAAGCAAGTCGCTGCAATGAGCTGCTTAAAGCCAGGTCCAGCCCTCCCAGAGGTGCTCTGCTCCTTAAGCCTGGCTTAAATGCAGGAGAATTGTCTGTGCTTTGCTCTGAGCCCTCAGGTGGGCTCCATAAATCAGATTAAAACAGGAGCCGCAGCCCCTAGTGAGACTGGAGAAGTCTCTGCTGCAATTTGTGGGATGATTTAGGGCAAAACTGAGTGGTTTTGTTTAACCTTGTGATGTTTGGTTGGAGCTTTGTGCCCTGAGCAGCTCTGGAGGGGGAGGGCAGCGATGCCCCCACAGCCCTGGGAGTGCCGTGGGGCTGCAGGTCACCACGAATTTCAGAATTATTGCACCACCCTGGGACAATCAGGATCAGAATTATGGCACAGAGCCCTAGGACAGGAGAGAGCCTGGCACCCCTGGCACCCTCATTTTGGCACCCCTCCCTTCCAGCAGCCCGGGGAGGGCAGTGGCACCTGCTGGGGTGGTTTGGAGTGGGCAGGGCAGGAGCTGGGGCTGTGCCAGGGATGCAGATTGCTCTGGTGAGTTCAAGGTTTGTTTTCACACCTCCGTGCCTGAGGTGCTTCACGTTTTGTCCCTTTCAGATTTTGAAGAAGTCCTGCATAGAAATCCTGGCAGCAGAGCCCTCCAGCATCTGTGCAGGGGGTGAGTATGAGCGAGGCCATGCTCTCCGTGGTGCCTAAAATACAATTTTCAGTCCATCTCTAATTGGTGGAGAGTGCCAGATTCACTAATTACCAGGGGCTAAATATTTCACCTTTTTTTGGGGGGTGAATTTCTTTTTCACCTCAGGGCAGTTTGCACAGTGCCCCGTTTCTGCCAAGTGATGTCAAATGGGATTTTTTTCCACAAAAGGCCTGAATTCAAAAATTTTGCATGAATGTTCTTCTGTCAGACCAGTCTGCCGTACTTGGCTGTGAAGTAGATGCACTGCACTTAAAAAGATATTTACATACTCAAGGGATAAACAAGGATGCTTCTAGAACACAGATGGTTTGAAATCATCATTTATAACCATCTTTAACACTTTCTGAGGGCTTTGATCTTATCATGCCACTCCTTGTGCCTGAGTGGGAGGGCAGGGGTAGGACCAGCTGTGCCCAGAGAGGAAATGCAGAGAGCTTCAGAAAAACTGCATCAGAATTTGGCCAGGACTTCACAAGAGGAGCAGTCCTTGGCAAATCCAGCAGTTATTTGGATCCTCCAAGTCTGGGCAAACAGTCCCTTGCTCTTGGCCTGCAGGTGGTTTAACCACTTTGGGAGTGATGGAAGTGCCCCTGGCTACACAAATTATGTGCTTTAGTGTCCTTAAAATCCGAGTTGGCCGGCACAGCTGGGCCACCTCGAGTTTTCACATTGCTGTGCACATCCTTGAGGGATGCTGGCAGATTTTCTCTTTTATTTTTGTTTGCCAGGAGCCAACCTGAGGACTCTGTGTTACCTGAGGCCACTCCTGCACTGCTGGCTTGTCCGAGGCACTGCAGGGGTGGATTTCAGCATGGCCATCACTCTGAAATGAATTTCTGGGTGATTTGGCCATGCAGGGGGCACTGGGCTCTCCTTCCAGCCCCTGGTCCTGTGATATCTCTGATTTCTGCTCTTTGTACTTGAACCCTCATCCCCAGAGCCTGAGAATTCCGTGATTTCCCTTGAATATTCAGCAGAGCAGAGCTCTTGTGCCCTTCCCAAAAGCTGCCCCAGCACACCGAGGGCCTGGAGCAGCTTCCCTGCATGTGCTGGGATGATTTTCAGCTTGGCTGCAAACCAGTGGGGCCTGGAAGGGAGCCCAGATTCCAGAAATCTGCTTTTCTTGACAAGTACAGTGTGCAGGGCCTTGGGGAGGTGAGGAAATGGGGGCTGTGAAATGCGAGGGCAAAGGGCTGAACCTGCACAAAAAGGAGGTTCCTGGCTGCTGCTGGGGTTTGAAACCCGGGTGCTGGCCCTGATGCTGCTGGCCCTGATGCTCTGGGGTCACTCCTGCTTGCTTTGCACACTTTTGTGTCCAAATCCCCTTCCCAGCCAGGCTGCAGTGGGGATGAGCCGGGTCCCTCTCCCAGAGGGGCGCAGGAGTCGTGGGGGCTGCTTCCCCTGAAATTACCTGGGAAAGGAACACCCAAACTTCTCCAAATTATCTCTCACCAGAAGATTTTTTTGGCCTTTCTTCACCCAAAACTTTCTGCCATTTAAAATGGACACTTGGGGAGGGCAGAGCCAAGAACTAGATTATTTTTTTTTCCTCCTTTTTTTCACCCAAAACTTTCTGCCATTTAAAATGGACACTTGGGCAGGGCAGAGCTCAATGTCTCTGAAGTTTCATGTTTCCACTGCAGGCCAGTCCAAGCGTGTCTGTGCTGAGTTGTTCCCTGCTTCCAAAAATCCACGTGGAAATTGGGCATGTCAGGAAAATTAATCCACAAACATCAGAGGTTTATGTCCAAAAAGGAGGCAGAGGAGTACTTTTTCTTTATTCCAATAAAGGGAGAGGCCATGGAGCATTCCCCTGGGGTCTCTCCAAGTTTTGGAGGACGCAGCCACCCCTTTTATCCTAATTTTCCTTCTCTCTTTCCCCCTTGACTGAAGTACTTGAGAGGTACAGACTTCCCAAAACACCTGATACCAGAGATTTCCCTCTAATGTACAACCCTCCCTTTTAATTTTTAATTCTTATGGAATTTAGGGGGGGGGGTTTCCCTATTGTTCCTTTCATCTTTCAAGGTCCAATTTAATTTATCAGCAAACCTACGGTTTATTTGTAAAAGCAAACATATTTTTCATTCACCAATCAGTGGAATCCTCCCCATTATTATTTTATCTCCCAGTGCTGGTTTTATCCCCCAGCAGACCCACAGCTGGTCTGCAGGGACAGATCCCTCATCCCCCTCAGGTACATTTCCAGCAGGTAGTGACCCCAAATCCTGGTTCTAGAACAGATATCCCATTTCTGACCCCAAATCCCATTTCTGACCTCAAATCCCCATCCCTGACCCCAAATCCCGTTCCTGACTCCAAATCCCCGTTCCTGACCCCAAATCCCCGTTCCTGACCCCAAATCCCCGTTCCTGACCCCAAATCCCCGTTCCTGACCCCAGATCCAATCCTTGACCCCAAGTCCCCGTTCCTGACCCCAAGTCCCCGTCCCTGACCCCAAATCCCCGTCCCTGACCCCAAATCCCCGTTCCTGACCCCAAATCCCTGTTCCTGACCCCAAATCCCTGTTCCTGACCCCAGATCCAATCCTTGACCCCAAATCCCAGTTCCTGACCCCAAATCCCTGTTCCTGACCATAAATCCCATTTCTGACCCCAAATCCCCGTTCCTGACCCCAAATCCCCGTTGCGGCCGTGGAACAGGCGGTTTTAGCAGGGAGAAGCTGTCCCAGGGAGCTCTCCCCAGCGCCCCAGCAATAACCGGAGCCTGTTTTGGCAGAGTCCTTCCAGGTGGTGGTCAGGGGGAACGGCTTTCGGCACGCCCGCAACGTGGACCGGGTGCTCTGCAGCTTCAGGATCAACGACACGCTCACCCTCAGTAAGCTCCGGGCTTTGCTTTGCTTTTCTTTGCTTCTCCTTCCTCCTCTCAGCCCTGGGCACCTCCAAACACCTCGGCTGTGAGAGCAGAGCTGGGGGCTGGGGGCAAAGGGATTGTGTGTGAAAAGGGAGATTGCTCCTGGCTGAGCATCCCTGCTGGGCTGGGAGCAGGGACTGGGTGTGCTTCTGCCCTCACCTGTGTTTTGGGGTGCTCAGAGTGGGATCAGGTGTGGTTCTGCCCTCACCTGTGTTTTGGGGTGCTCAGTGCCCTGCTCCTGCAGCTCTGCTGAGCAGGGAATTCCAAACCTGGGATTTGCTCAGAAAATGCCTGATTGCCCTGGAGGCAGTCCTGACCCTGCTCGGTGTAAATTAAATGCATTAATTTATAAATTCATATTAATTAACAGAAACGAAAAATATATCTCCATTACAAAGTTACTTTAACGCCACATATATAGACTCCATTTTAAAATTTGCAAAAAGCCAATATTGCAATATGTGTCTATAACAATGGGGAGCCTCCAGCCCCTCTCTGGGCCGCAGAAATCTGTCCTGCAGCAGAAGTGTTGTTTTGTTTGCTTTCCCTGGGTGAGTTTTCCAGGCAGGAGTCAGATGGGCCAGAGTTATGCAAACCAAATGGATGCTCTTGTGTTTAGAGCACAGCTCATTTTTGTGGTGAAGCACAAAACATTCTCCAAACAATCTGACCTGTGCCTGCAGCCAGCCTGGAGCTCGGCCAGGGCTGATAAACCTTCTAGAGAGGCTGGGGTGGGCAGGGAGAGAAAGAGAAACAAAAACCTAAGGAGATCTGAGTAAAAGGCCTTGCAGGATGAAGCAGCTTTTGTTTAGTGAGTGCTGGCACGGAGCAGCCTTTGGCCTCGCTGCCTGAGTGAGAAAAGGAGAAAACAAGACACTGATCTTCATTTCCTTGGCATGCGTGCGCCGAGACAGTGTCATAAATTCATGGGAGTTCATGATACGCTCATAAATCAGGGGAGGACAGCCCTGTGGGAGCAGATGTGCCCCAGGGCACAGCCAGAGAGCTGGAAATGGGCTGGGCAGCTCCTGGCAGTGCTGGGCACCAGAGGTGGTACAGAGCTCTGGCTCCAGTCTACAGGGCAGGAATACCACTCAGTGCTCCTGCTCCTCGGGCCCCTTGGGAGTTCTCTCATCACTTTTAAACTCAGTGTAACTCAGGCTGGAAGGTTTAACTGAGGTTCAGATGCTTCTGCTTGAAATGCTAAATTTTCTGTAATACACAACTTTCCTAATCCCACAAGCTCCTCATTCCCCAGCTCATTTATTTACCTATGGCAAGGAAAAGCATCCTTTAAACCTGCTCTCTGAGGGCTGTGTGGGTGGTTTGGCACTAATGGCACTCTCTCCCTCTCCAGATGAGAAGCCTTTCGTGGTGGAGGACACCTACCTGCTGTGCCCGGCGCCTGTGCTCAGGGAAGTTGGCATGTACGTCTTTGCTGCCCCAGTATTCGTGGGGAGATGGGGCTGGGTCTGCTCCCTGTGCCCTGCTGCTCTCCTTGGTCCCATGTGGCTCCCAGGGTGCCATCCCCTCGTGTTCACAGCGTTCACATCCCCAGCTGTGCCCTGGAGCACTGGGAGCACTGGGAATTACCTGTAAAGGGATTTCTGAGCAGGCACAGGGCTGTGTGTGAGCTGCCCTGACTTGGTTCTGTTTTTTTCCAGGGAAGCAGCTCTCCAAGTCAGCATGAACGACGGGCTGAGCTTCATCTCCAGCTCTGTCATCATCTCCAGCACGCACTGTGTGAGTTGTGGTTCCTGCAATGCTTCTGGGGGTGCTGGGGCTGGACACCAGGAGCGTGTCCCAGCAGCAGCAGGGCTGCCAGGCTGGCTCTGCCTGCTCTGAGGGACCTGTCCCCCCCTCAAAGGGGACTTTGAACGTGTGGCAATGGGACATTTCAGGTGTCTTGTGTGCCACAATGTGGCCAAGCCTTCAGTGACACCTCCAGGTCTGTGCTGGGACAGGTGGTGCCTTGGGAATGCTGACTGGAGCAGAGTTACAGAATAAAGCAGGGATTTATTCACAGCATCTCCTCAATGGATCCACCTTGGGCAGCGCCCAGGATGAACCAAAATGGTCACAAAATGAGCCCCAAAATGGTCACAAAATGAGCCCAAGAAGAACCCCAAAATGGTCACAAAATGCACAACTTGTCACGGGGTCTGTCACTTTTCTAAGTTCTGCTCCATTTGCATATTGGGGTTAATTGTCCAATTCCAGCTTTAGGTTATGCAGTCCCATCCTCCTTGTTTTTCTCTCTTCATTCCACGCTGTTTGTGCCCTTGGGCTGAGATTTGGGTGGTTGTCCTCGGTCCCCAGCTAGAGCAGGACCTGAAAACCACAGAAGTTAGAACTGAAGGTATCACAGGGACCAGGGCTGGGCTGGCAGTGCCCTGGAGGTGTCTGTGCCTGCCTGGCCACTGCCCAATCCCTTTTTCCCTGTAAGCAATAGCTGTCCTTTTCTATCAACTGTCCGTTCTTAACTCTCTGGAGTTCATCCAGAGAAGCAAACATTCAATTAACAGCATGGCTGAAGCAGACAGCTGCTTTCCTGGCAAGCAAAGAGCAAAAATGAAGTCAGGAAAGTCAGCTGGACTTTGACTCCCTGCTGGAAGAATGAGCAAGAGGTGGCTGGTGGGGTTGGGAGCTCTTGGAAAGGGATTCACTGCTGGTGCTGGGTCAGGCCTGGAGGAGCTGGAAGAGAGGAAAGTGTTAAACGCTGTGTTGTGATGTGCAGGTCCTCACTGGAATGAAATCAGACATTTGAAATGCTTCAGCCCTTTCTCAGCAGCTGTACCAGACTGGGAGGGAGATCTCAAAGCACCAGTGGAGCTTTCTGAGCAGGCAGAATTTTGTTCCTGCTTCTCATTCAGCTTGGCTGAGTCATTTATCACTCAGCTTCTGCCTGAGCACAACCAGAGCTGTATGAAGCAGGCACTGCACAAGTGGCAGCTGAATTCTGGGTGGCACTGGGGAGTTCTGACAGCTCCAGCCCTGCCCAGGCCCCTGGACTGTGATACACAAACCCCCAGCTGGCCAGGCCAGCTGCGCTGCAGAGGAACAGATGTGCTGGGGTATCAAAAACTGGCCTTTACAGGTTGTTCCTGGGGGAAGGGAAAGCAAAAATAAATTCTATTTTGTAAAATAAACAAAAAAAAAAAAGTCCCTAGAAAAGAGTTTAAATTAGTTTTGTACTTTAGAAAATTGATTTTAGAATACTCCTAATGACCAAATAATTGGTTTAATATGGGGCTACAGGGCAGATAACTATTAGACATAAAAAGCCCGATTTTTTTCTACAATTTCAGGGCAGTAAAGCATTGAGATCACATTTTCTAAAGCCTTGAATACCAGCAGGTTGCATTTTGCAGATGATGGATGGGCCATCGTGCTGTTTGTCTGGAGGAATAGCCCCAGATGAACAGCTCTGTCTTCTCAAATGAGCTTTTTTGTGTGCGCTGGGGTCCAAGTTCCATTTCCAGACATGCCTTGGGTGAATTTTTCTCCTGTGTGGATTGCCTCCTCCTGCTTCCAAGTGTCATAGATCAGGTTGTCTTGGTCCAAGTTCTCCAGAAATTCCTTCTGCACCAGCAGAGAGTTTGGAAAATGCTCCCAAACCTGGTTGATCTTCCATTACTGTGTCCTGGAGTGGTGGGAGGTGATCAGGCTGCAGGGGTTGGAGCATTTGTCACGCAGCAGGTCAGCCTGTCCCTGGAGCTGTCCCAGTCTGACACGGGCTGGGGGTTCCAGGGTCTCCCTCGTGCAGCAGGAACATCTCAGAGAGGTTTAGGCCAGGCCTTGCAGCTCTGGGAGCAGCAGGACCTGGCCCAGGGGGGCTGGCACAGCTCGGGGTCACAGGCACAGCTGCAGTTCTGCTGCAGAATTGCAGAAAATGGGTTTAACTGGGAGAAGTGTCCCAGCCCGAGAGGAGAGGACCTCCTGGAGTTAATGATGGGGAAACTCCCTGTGTGTCCTGGTGCTGGATCTCAGAGCTCTTGGAAAGCTCCTGGCAGGGCTGCTCTGAGTCAGCACAGCTGAGAGGAGCAGCAGGACCTGGGTCATGGGCCCTGGAGATCTCTGAGTTTGGAGCTGTAACACCAGCACGTCTGGGCTGCAGGAGGGAAGAGCTGCAAGGAAACTGCAGGGAATCCTTGCCAGAATTGGGGTTGTCCCATCCCTGGCAGTGCTGGATGGGGTTTGGAGCTCCCTGGCACAGTGGGACGTGTCCCTGCCCCTGGCTGGGGTGGCACTGGACGGGCTTTGAGGTCCCTTCCCACCCAAACCCCTCCACGATTCCATGACTGTGTTGTGAGTTCTTCTTCAAATCTTTAAGATATTCTGGGGAGCATTGTGTGAATTTTAGTCTGAATTAAGAGAGAGAGAAGAATGTGTCTGTGACAGTGTGTGAGGACAGCTCTGTGTCTGTCAGGGGTGTCCCAGGTGTCACACCGAGCTCTCTCTGCTCTCCTGCAGTCCGACGGGACCATCCTGGCCATCGCCCTGCTGATCCTCTTCCTCCTGCTGGCCTTGGCTCTGCTCTGGTGGTTCTGGCCCCTCTGCTGCACCGTGGTAAGTGACAGAAATCAGCAGCACCACGCAGCATTTCGGCAAGAAATGAGTGGGGAGGAGGCAGAGTTTTCCACAGGGCTGATCCCAGGATTTCTGCCACTGCAGGCTCTGCCTGGGGCTCCTGTTTCATCTGCCCAGCCACGGATTAGACCCATCTTACCAACACCCAAAGCTTGCCAGGAGCCTTTTAGCCTTGTGTTTTGGTCACTGAATGAAAATAGTTTGCAGAAATTGATTCCTTGACGTGCCTGGTGTGGATTTGCTAACCCTGGTGGCAGCATCCCCGTGCTGAAGGGCTCCTGTAGAAGGGCAGGACTGATCAACCCACACTGGAGTCCTGCTTCTGCCTCGGGTGCAAGGAAAAGACATTGCTAGGTGTCCAGATTTTTGTGAGATGAGCTGGGTTTCCTGGATCACCGTGTCTGAAAAGCACTTTGAATGGCACAGTGGCAGTCTGTGCTTCAGTGAGCTTTGTCTTTCCTCCAGGCGCTTTCACAAAAGTTCAGCAGCACAATCACAGAGTTAAAGCTTCAAAAGGGCAGAGAGAACTCAGGGGAGAAGGAAGGGGTGAAGGGAGGCAAGAAGGGAATCACAGGACTGGAGATGAGCTCTCATCTCCTCTGCTGTCTGTCTGTCCCACCCTGAGCATCCCTGCTGAGCCTGGCTCTGCCTTTCCCGGTGAGGATCAGGGCGAGGGCTCATTGCTGTGGAGCTCACCGTGCTCTTCTTTTGGATCTTGTTTGTGCTGCAAATGTAGAATTAGGGACACAGGAATGTCAGCAGGACTGGAGCCTGGGTTTGTGGCTGGCTGCCTGTCACCTGTCCCAAGGTGCTTTCAAGGCTGCCCAAACTGGCCCCAGTTTCTGGGTCACCACCATTATTCCTGATTTTCAGAATTCCTGCTGTAAATTTGCACCATGTTGTAGCAAACCTACAGGGCAGGGCAGAGAGCTTTGGAGCCACACACTGCAGCACCACTCTGTGCTGCGGTACCCAGAACAAGGATGGAAATCTTGCAGGAAAAATCTTAGTTGTCTGTTTCTGTTCCTGACTGAAAATGGGGATAAAACCCTTCTCTTCACAGTAGTTTGGCACCTCAGTCCCGAGATGAAAACCAGAATGGAAAAAATATTTATTTGGACTTTCAGAACAATTAAAAAAACCCTGGTTCTAAAATTGGCCAGAGGACTAGCAGCGTGGTAGGTTGCTCAGTTATTTGCCTAAACTAGATGGCACGTTCTCAGGGGAGCTGGGCCAGCTTTTTGTTGGCACATCTGCATGGAAGTCAGGGGAGAAGTGCCCTGTGCAGACTGGAGCTGGAGAATTGAGGGGATAGAGGGAAAATGCTCTCGGTGATGCTGCTGCTTTGAGGCTCTGTAAAGCAGAAAGACGAGGCTGATGAGAAAAAGGCATAAATAAAAGCAGCAGGGCGTGGAGGGGATGTGGAGCTGTCATGAGGGCACCGTGGCTCTGCTGCAGTGGAATCATGTGAGGACAGTGGTCATGTCACAGCCCCGAGTGTGAAAAATAGTCCAGATAAGCAAGGTGGGTGCAGCAGAGAGAGGGAGTCTCTGGTCCACATGAAACTTTAAAAGTTTAATATTTTCCAGATTGAAATTCTCCATTTAAAACATTTGCTGGAGATAAAAGCTTTTCCTCACTCTCCTCCTCTACCTCCCACGTTCCCTCCTAGCAAGGTCTGCAAGTGGGGACTATCTCACTGATATTTTTCCAGCGTAGTCAAACACTTCCCTGTAGCTGTTGGAAGGATTTTATTCCAAGAGCCTGCAGGAAATCTCTTCCACCTCTCCGGGAGGGCATCCGGTGTGTTTGGCAGAGATCAGCGGCCAGGATGCCTCACTGCTCACCCAAAAACGCTGCAGAACCAAAGATGAACCCCTGGAGGAGCGCCCAGCCTGTCGGGATGGGGAAAGGGAGCCCAGCAGAGCTCTGGCCGCTCTGGAAGTGGCACAGGGAGGAATGCAGAGCTGTCAGGAGTGAATTAAGGGCAGAGGAACTGCCTTGCACAACAGCCCAGAGCTCCAACCTCGAATAACCAAACCGCAGACCCGGAGACATCGCCATGGATTCCAGCCCAGGGACGTCTCTGAGATAATTGGGGATGTGTCAGGGGAAAAAGGAAAAAAAAACACAACAAACTCTTCTCTTACCAAGTATAAATCTGTTTCTGAGCGACAAGCACATTGCTAAACCCTGAAATTCCTCTTGGCGTGCTTTGTAATTAAATAGGAGTCATTACTATCCAGCAGTTCTTCAGGAAAGACACTGAGCCAGCTTCATCCCTGGAGTAAATGGACTGGAGTCAACAGACTCACTCTGGAGGTTTATCTGGAGCCCAGTATCTCCTTGGCACTCGTCCATGAAGGAATGCTGTTTCCAAATGCATCCCAGTTTATTGGTCTCAGAAGGGCTCTGGGATGGAGCCTGGAATTCAGCACTGGCTTTACAGTAGAGGCAATTGTTGCTTACTAGATCAGAACAATAATAACTCTTTGCTGTGCCTGATGTACCAGCACAGGCACAATTCCCCTGGATACCTGTGGAGGATATTACAAAAGCACGGGAGGCATGAGGAGCCTCTCCAGAGGTTGTGGGATGTTCACTGAAGAACAAAGGAACAATTCTGCCGTGCTGAACTCCCCGAACTGTGCTCGTAACAAGGATGGCAAGAAGGAAACGAGCACAGACACCTCCAACAGGGTGACTCCACCTTTGCTGAGCTGAGCAGATGTGCCAGGCAGCAGATCCCAGCAGATCCCAGCAGATCCCAGCAGATCCCAGCAGATCCCAGCAGATCCCAGCAGATCCAGCTCCTGGCTGTCCCCAGGCCTGCCTGTCTTCCCATCCCTGCTGTTTCCTGAGCCCAGCACAGCCTGGAGCAGCCCAGACACCCACAGCAGAAGCCCTTGTGCAGGAGCTGTTCAGCTGCCCAGGGCTGGAACTGTCCTGGGCAGGAGGCCAGCGTGAGCCTCAGGTTTAATGGTGATATAAATCAAATAGCTTTTAATGCAGAGGTAAGCCAAGGAGATAATAAACCTCCAAACCTGTCCTAAGGAGACACGTCGTTAGGTTGGCTTGGGAATGGAGCTGCCTCAAGTGTTTGGATGGACAGTGAAGGCAGAAATAATGTAATAGCTGGGAGGGTCTCCCTTCTGGGATGGTGCTCATCCATCCCACCTCCTCCAGGTTTGAGCTTTGTCTCCCTGCTGAGGCCATGCAGGGTGGCCTGAGGGGTTGGGCTGGGTTATTTGTAGGAAATCTGCCCCACCTCGCTCATTTTCATACTACAGTGATTTTAAATGCAGGGGTGTGGCTGGCAGATAAATGAGGTGTTGGTATTTAGGCACCTAAGAGCAGTTTTTAACTTTAAAGCTGTTTTCTGGAAGCTTGGAAGAACCCAGCAATCTGTTTGGCTCGCAGTCTGTACTGCAGCTGACCAGAAGTTTTGGAAACAAAAAGCTGGATGGAGAAAATACAGAAAATATAGATTAAAACCACATGGCCAAACTGCTGGGGGAGAAGGGGAGGAAATGCATAGGCTCTGCAGAGCTATAAAATGGCAGGTCCCTGCTGGGTGGATGGAGATTCCTTACAAAGATCCCTGGATTCTGATTCCCACCCTGTCCCACGAGCGCCCCAGGCACAGCCCCTCTGCAGTTGTGAGTGAGGACAAGGGCTCCTGTGCACAGCCCCAAGTGGCCACCGAGGTTTTCCTTTGCCCAGAAAAGGGATTTCATTTTTATGTTCTTCCAGAGGAAGTGGGTCAGACACCTGGACCCTCCCCAGTGGCTCGGAGCTGGTTTGTCTGTGTGAGTGGAGCAGCCCAGGAGAGGAAAGGACCCGTGCAGACACTGCATTGCTGCTGCATTCCCTGCAGGGCTGCAGGCAGGCTCCAAACTCTGCCAGGGCTCATGAACATGGAGCCTTTTCCTCTCCAGGACAGCCTCTCCTTCAGAAGTGAATGATTTTGACATGTGCTGTGCTCCTGCATTGAATTTGGGTTTGTGCAGCTCACCTCCGTGTCCTTGGGGTGAAGCAGCCTTTTGTTGTAGTTTAATCAGATAAAACTGAGCTTCCTGAACCTGCTCCCAGGCTGACAGGGGAGGTCAACTGAACAGGATGAGTTAACTTTCCACGGGACCTCCTTTACCTCCTACTTGCATCTCTGAGAAGAAGATTGCATTTTATTGCAGCTGAAGAATGAAACTGGGGCAGGCCCCTGCTTGTGCTAGCTTCGAAGTGCAGAGCAGATCCTCAAGGGTTGCATGGATACTGAGAAGACACAGAAGATATGACAGAAATAAAAAGGAAATGTTCCTTTACCCAACTCATACCTCAAATATGAAGCAGTCACAGGACTGAGAGGTCAAAACTATAAATATGGAGGGGGAAAAAATAGGAAATTAGTCAGATGGATCATAGTTAATGCTATTAAAATCCTTGTTTATTAAGACAGCAAGAATATATATTCGGTGTTTTCCAAAAGAGTGAAGGTAATTAAGGACAAGAAGAATCTGCTCAGTTCACAGCATGCTTCCAAACTGTAGTCCTAATTAGAGGCAAAGTCCTTTATTTCTTATTTTGTACTGTTTGCTTCATTTTAAATGATGATCTGTCCCATCCTAAAGCAGATATGCTCCTCTGACAAGAAACATATTGCCCCAATTTATCATCTAAAACTCCAGGGATAGTTACTGAGGGATTGCTGGACACTGAGAGCTGCTGGAGATTTCTGGGCTCCCAGGACGGAAACCATCCCAGACACATTCCTGGAACCTGCAAAATTTGGACCAGCATGTGCTTTCTTGTGCCTGAATGGCTACAGAAATTTCAGGGCGACGGCAAATTCATCCTTCCCAATGTTTTGAACCTTCCTGGAGGTGGCTAATAGCATTCCTGTGCTTTGCCCCTGGGTTATCCATCAGCAAGAGCTGCTTCTGCACGGATCTGGAGTGGCTCAGCTAACGGAGACCTGTCCTTCACCTTTGTCCTCAGGTGTTCCTCACCTGGAGAGCAAACTCGGGCAGAACCCGATCCCTGGCAAGGCTGGTCTGGAACAGAGACCAGACAGAGCTGAATGGACAAAAGAGGGATTTATAAAAGGCCTTAAAAGGACAAACCTTGGGCAGGGTTTTGGTTCTAAAGGAGGTCTCTTGACAAATGCCACCCGTCAGACTGACCAAAATTAATCTGAAAATGTCTCCTGGGTCTTTTGGTGCATTGCACACTCTGTCCTATTTAGTATTTATTGTGTCAAGGGACACAGAAGAGGTGTTGCTGTCTCCCTCCTACACCTCTGACGATGCTGATGTCCAGGATTACCTCTCCACAGAGTACCACTGCCACGCAGTTTTCATAATTTTTCGTAACTTTTTGGTCATTGTCACAGTTTTCATCATTCTTGGCCGTTGTGTCACAGCTTTTACAGTTGTTGGTCACTTACAGAACGCTCACCCCCCGTGTCTCTGGGCTCCTGAGGCACCAAGTCTCCGGGGCAGGGGTCCCTGGGGCTGGAGGCCACCGAAGCAGGAGCTCCAGGAGGAGCCGGTGGTGGCAGAGCCCAGCACTCAGCAGTGCCCGGGCTGGGGCTGAGCTGCTCCAGCCCCATTCCTCCCCTGCCAGAGGCACATGCTCCTCATTAATGGCCACATTGCATGACTGGGCTTTGCAGAGCAAAATAAAAACAGTGAGCTCATCACAGGGGGAAAAACACGAGTGAGAGGAGTTGCTGTAAATATTTATATCTTCAGGGCTGTTAATGTGATTGCAATTTTCCCTTTCTGCATTTAAACAACCAAGCTGTTGCTGGTCGGGATGGTATTTTTATTTTTATTTTATTTTTCGGGTGATTTTGAAGCCCACTCCTGTGTCCCCCAAGCCAGGGCAGCTCTGCCCTGACAGCCAGCTCTGAGCAGAGCTCAGGACACTCGGTGTCACCTCCCTGGTGCTCAGACAGCCCCGTGCTGGGGTGGCACTGCCATGGTGAGGGGTTGGACGTGCCTGGTGTCGCTGCCCTCCCCTTGGACACCTCTCTGTTGCTCTTGGATGCTCTGCTGGCAGCCAACTGCCTGCCGAGCCCTGGATGCAAATTTCTGCATGAAATAATGGCCTCACACCCACATAAACTGAAATGGTTTCTATGGAGAATATCCTGGGCCAGGCTGCAGCCTCACCCTGCTTGCTTTATTAGAAACCTCCGTGAGCCATGTATGTGTGTGCATATATACATTTATATTTGAGTTTATGGCAGTGAGCTATATTAACCTGGTGATGTGAAGAGCACGAGGTGGCAGAGCCTTCTGGAGTGAAAAAGGAAGAATGGTCTGGGGGACAGGCAGGGGGTTAGCACTGCTTGGCAAGGTCCCCAGGGCATTTTGCTTCACGTTTGTTCTGATCTCCAGCCTTTGTTCAGACTGGAAATGATTTGGGGCAGGATTTGAGAGGGCAGGAGAAAGAGGGGCTGATTTTCTGTGGCTGTCCAGGTGAGCATCACTGCTTAGAGCCAGCACTGACTGTGGCAGCTGCTGGGACTGGGAGACTCAGGGGTGTCAGACTTTGGGTTTTCTGGATTTTCTCGCACAGGGTGGAGGTCAGTGAGCAGTGTGAGTGTGGGAATGTCTCTGTGGCAGGGCTTTGGGACACTCCTGCTCCCCCTGAGTGACAGTGGCACCCAGAACCACCCCAGGGCCACCACACCGTGCTGCAGGAGAGGTGTCCCAGCAGCACAGCCTGTTGTTCTCGCCTTTGGATTTCAGTCGTGCTGAGGAACAAAGAATTCATAGTTCTCTTTCTCTTTCATCCTTCTAGATCATCAAGGAACCTCCCCCACCTCCTGCAGAAGACAGCGAGGTGAGTTACCCTGACCCCTGCTCTCCTCGGTGTTCAGGACAATGTTTTGTTCAGAAAAGCTGATTAAATCGCCTCAGAAAAGCTGCTCAGCTCTGTGGGCTCAGTGAGCAGGTAGGAAAGGACAGCTCAGACCATCCCTCCTGGCTGGGTCAGAGCAGCCAGGCTGTGATTCCCACAGGGCAGCCCTTAAGCCTGTGTTTAACTCTGAGTTAGTGCAGCCTAAACCCGTGCTTAGCTGCCTTCCCAGAGTGGCACGGTTGTGATTTTGGTGGTTTGGGATTTAGAGCTGCTCCTGGCAGGAGCTCCCCGTGCTGGAGCACAGCTGCTGTGGGAAAAGGGAGCTCCTGGGGCACATTCAGAGGGGTGGAAAAGCCCAGCAGGACCCCTGGACACCAGCAGAGCTGCACAGGCTTTCATGGAGAGTGATCAGCAAAGGTTAATCAACGTCAGAGCTCCCATCCTAACTCTGCTTGCAGGTCTTAGATGAGTCTTGCCACAAAGGGCCAAAGCTGTGCCCCCATTCCCGAGCCCAATTTCCATCTCCTCTTTCTGTGTGCTGCTGTTCCAGCCTGCAGTGAGTCCCTGCCCTGCTCCCAGCTTTTCCAGGTGGGATTTCCCTGCAGAGAGTCCCTGCCCTGCTCCCAGGCTTTTCCAGGTGGGATTTCCCTGCAGCCTGGGCTCTCTGCAGGGCACTCTGATGCCAAGGGCAGTTTTCCCACTGGCTTTGGGCACCCAAGGGCAGCCCTGGAACCTCCACCTTGGCCACTCCAGACAGGCCTGAAGCAAACTCCGAATCAGACCTTTCCCAGAGCCAAGGGGGTCACCTTTGGGCCCAGTGCCTCTCTCTGCAGGCACCTGGCCATTTCCCTGAGCAGACTTTTGTTTGGGCTATGTGAAAACCCAGCAGCTTTGTCAGCTTCTGTCCTCTGAATGAAAAGGAAAATATTAACCTCAAACTGCACATGCTTTGTTCTGCATCACCCATGCCTCCAAGCCAAGGGATTCAATTGCTGAAATTAATTAAAAGACATCATTCTGGAATGCTGGCTCCCTGGCCAAGAGCTGGAGGGGGAAATTGCATCCCCTAGGAGGGAAGAGTGCATCACCTATAAGGAAGTCTTCTGTCAACCCACTAAGTGCTGCAAAAGCAGAGCAGTCTCTGCAAAATCACAGCTGCAGCTTGAAATTCAACTTGTCCAGGCCGTGGAAGCCTCAAGATTTTCTACTTTGCTCTAAACAAGTTGAAGATGGAGTTGATTTTCTACAATCCATTTTTTAGGTGTTGCAGAAGCCCCTCTCCCCTGCAGGACTCCAGCAGCTGCTCCTCTCCAGCAGGAGGGATTGCTGGTCCCTTCAGCAGCAGGGTTACAGTTGGATTTTTTCCTTCTCACGAAATTCTTGGCCATAAAAGAAAAAAAACAAAGGAAAAAAAAAAAAAGGAATTCTTGCATCAGCAGGTTTGGGAGCTGAAGGCCACAGAAGGAAGGAGAACGCATTACACCCTGACAAGGAGGGGGACGCAGCCTCTGCTGTCAAAGGTTTCGCTGAACTCTGCTTCAGAGGCCCTGTGAGACTCTTCACTGCTGGTGAAGGAAATCAGCACTGGCCAGAAACTCCCAATTAATTCATTCAGAAATTGCAAATGTTGTCATCTCCTGCTGTGCTGCTCGGGGATGCCAGTTTAATAGCCAAATTCCCATTTCATGGCCACATTCCAGCTTAATAGCCAAATTCCCATTTCATGGCCAAATTCCCGTTTCATGGCCCAATTCCCATTCCATGGCCAAATTCCAGTTTCATGGCCAGTGCCATGTGAGACATCCAGTGCAGAAAGGGCAGTTTCTGTGCTGATCAAAGCCACCAAAGGCTGGTTTGAGAGACGTTTGTGTCTCAAGGATGAGCTTGTATGAAGTTGTTCAGGCTGGAGAAGAGAAATTCTGAGGAGCTTTCCAAGCAAAACCTTCCCTGGGAACAGCAAGGTGTCCCCAGAGTGGCACAAAGCAGCTGAGAGGTGGCCATGGGATTTGGGGATGGCTGCAGTGTTGGGAGAAGGGGCAGAAAGGGGTCTTGAGGACAGCTGGATTGCCTCTGTGCTCTCTCAGCACTAAAATTCGGTGAGAACATCTCTCACACAGAGAAATTATTGTCGTGTCGTGGCTCTTGGTGCAGGCAGAGCTCTCCACAAACGCTGAATTCTGACAAAATTCAGGCATTGCAGAGACAACTGGGAAAATAATTATAAGGGTGGGGAGAGGGGTAAGTTGTCCAATTTTTTTTTTTTTTTTTAATATCTGGCCAAATTTTGTTTGAATTCTTACCCTGAGTGGTTGAGATGTCCCTTGTGGAGCCTGAATTATCCTTGTGTTACCCACAGATGAGGTTCCCTCAGGTCAGGGTCACAGTACCCAGAGCCGGGCTGGCCTCTGAGATAAACACAGAGCTTTGTTTTCTGCAATGCAGCACTTCTGGGCCTGGATCCCTGACTGTGAAACACAGCTCTGTCCTGCTTCTTCTTCTTGTTAAGAGAAACTCTAGCTCCATCTAAAGCAGGCTGTGGGGGTGGAAAGGTGCCAAGTCCTGTCCAGTGGATTTCCAGCATCCTTAAACACACTTGGATTTTCCGGAGCTGCTTTTGATGCTGCAGCTCAGGTGCAAACCCCATGTGGAGGAAAACACAGCTGAGAAGGAGAATCCGTGCCTGGCTCACAAATTGGGTGCTGGATGTGGGTTTGGGTGCCTTTTCCTTCCCATTTCCCTGCTCCTGCCTCCCCCATCCCCCCGGAGTGGGGAGTGCATGGCCAGGGGTGCAGGACAGGCTGCTGGGGGCTTTTCCTTGGATTGCAAAACCTCCCCAGAGATGTAAACAGGCTGGTCCTGCAGCAAACTTGTGACTCCTTTGTTTGTCAGGGCTCCTGCTGCCTCTCTGTGCCTGCGCTGCTCTGCTGGGCTCGCAGGGCTTGTAAGGCTTGTGGGGAAAATTTCCTAAACCTTGGTATTTCCTGTTGTGAGAAGTCCAGTCTGTGCTGAGCTGAGGAGAGAGAATTGCTGAAGGAAAATATTTAGATGGCTTCACTTCCACTTTTTTCCTTTTTTTTTTCTTTTTCTTTTTTCTTTCTTATTTTTTTTTAATTTTTTAAATTATTTTTTTCTTTCTTTTTTTAAACAAACAAAAAAAAAGTCCTCATGGAGAACTTTGTGCAGAGATATTGAGTTCTGGGGTTGCAGCACAGAGCCTCAGCTCAGCCTCAGAGAGAGAGGTCAGCTCTGAAGGGAAGAGCCTGGTACTTGTGACCAGTTGTTCACCCTTCCCTTGGCTCAGGACACGTTTTGCAGCCCAGTTTCTGTGTTTTGATAAACTGAAATGCTTTTGGTTGCCGTGAAAACCAGAGTTTTTCTTGGATTTTTGATTCCCCCCCCAGTTTTTCAGTTTTCCTGATGGGGAGTTTCAATTTCAAAGTATTTTTGGCTTGTCCAGTTTTGGAAAGCTTCTAAGTTTTGGAGTTTAGCCAAATCCCTGTGAAAAATTATAGAAAGAAGAAGAAATAAGAGAGAGGGCCCATTTTTCTGTTCTCTCCATGTTTTTTCACAGGAAATACTTCACTTTTTTGATGAACTCTTCTCTTCTGCTGTGCCAGTTCACAGCCTGAACTGTAGAAATTAAAGGGAACGGCACTACAGGAGTGCAACAGAGAATTTAAAATGCCTTGAATTTCACTAGAGCTTTAGCAGACTCATTTTAAATAAACTGAAGGGAACTTTCTTGATCTCTTAAGTCACCCATAGCTGGGTATCACCGTGAGGTGCTGAGCACGTTTATCCCTTCCATCACTTCCCATCCCTTCCATCCCTTCCCATCCCTTCCCATCCCTTCCCATCCCTTCCCATCCCTGCTCCTGGCCCCTGGCAGTGCCACCCTGCTGCTGTTTTGCAGGAGGAGGATGATGATGGGCTGCCAAAGAAGAAGTGGCCAACAGTGGATGCCTCTTACTACGGAGGGCGAGGAGTGGGCGGCATCAAACGGATGGAGGTGAGGAAATGGCAGATGGAGGTGGGGAAATGGCAGATGGAGGTGGGGAAATGGCAGGATCTGATCCTGATCTGATCCTGATCCGATCCTGATCCTGATCTGATCCTGATCTTGATCCTGATTCGATCCAGTCCTGATCTGATCCTGATTTGATCCTGATCCTGATCTGATCCTGATCCTGATTTGATCCTGATCCTGATCTGATCCTGATCCTGATTGGATCCAATCCAGTCCTGATCTGATTCTGATCCAATCCTGATCTGATCCTGATCTGATCCAATCCTGATCTGATCCTGATCTGATCCTGATCCAATCCAGTCCTGATCCAATCCTGATCTGATCCTGATCCTGATCTGATCCTGATCTGATTCTGATCCAATCCTGATCCTGATCTGATCCTGATCTGATCCTGATCTGATCCTGATCTGATTCTGATCCGATCCTGATCCAATCCTGATCCTGATCTGCTCCCTCCTTCCAGGTGCGCTGGGGGGAGAAGGGCTCCACAGAGGAAGGTGCCAAGCTGGAGAAGGCCAAGAATGCCCGGGTGAAGATGCCAGAGCAGGAGTACGAGTTCCCTGAGCCCAGGAACCTGGGCAGCAGCATGCGCCGGCCCTCGTCCCCTCGCAAGTGGTACTCGCCCATCAAGGTGAGCCCAGCAGGGTGGGACTCGCCCACCAAGGTGAGCGCAGCCTGCCCGGGCTGTGGGCAGCAGCTCTTCCTGCTGCTGTGCTGTGTGCTCCCAGCCAGGATGAGATCTGCCCACAGAGCTCTGGGCTGGGGCAGGGACCATGGGGGGCTCTGGGACCTCCCCAGCTGCTTGCTCAGGTCTGGGAGTTGTGTGGCTGGGGAATGGGGAGGAATTGCCTCTCTGGAGGAGAAGGGCAAGGAATTAAAACTTCAGGAACAGTGAACCAAGGGTGCTTGAATCTGGTAAAGAGCCAGGAAATTCACATTTTAGGATCAGTCATCTTGCTGATCACAGGCCCCTCTGCTCCACACTGCACTGCCCCTGCTTAGAATGTTCTGCCTTTTATGATGGAGTTCTTGCCTCTATTTTTGTGTCTTCCCAGACTCATGTCTCTGTAGGTAGACTGAGAGTGGATAGATTGCTTTTTTTAAAATGCTCCAGAGATTTATTTGCTACCAAATGTGTCTGCTGACACTTAAGAGATTTGGGTTATTGTTGTTATTCTGCTGTTGCTTCTTAGCATGGTGCCAACTGGATTATGCTGCTTTTAAAATGTCATTTCAGCTGTCTGCAAAGCCAGTGCAGATAATCCAAGGGGGATGACAAATCTGAAAACTTCCTAAGAACCTCACCAAACCCTCGGTTCATCTGGCAGGGAGGGGCAGCACAAACGTAGATGGAAGTGAATCAGGGTCACGGAATTGTTAATTTTGGGAAAGCTCATCAGGATCCTCCTCCACCAGCACGTTCCCATTAAACCACAGTGGCCCTGAGTGCCACTGCCACACGTTTCTTAGGAGTTTCTCAGGAATGGGAACCCAGCAGTGCCCTGGGCAGCCTGGCCAGGCCTTTCCAGCCCCTGCAGTGAAGGAATTTTCCCCACCAGCCAACCTAAACCTCCTTGGGCACAGCCTGAGGCCATTTCCTCTCAGCCTTGTTACCTGGAGCAGGAGACTGACCCCGGCCTGGGGCTGCAGCAGCAAGTGGCGCTCTCCAAGGAGAGCTCAGGTGAATCCCAGCTGGATCCCAGCACTCCAGCCTGCCTGGCCGTGTGTCCCTGGCACTTCTGCAGCCTCTGTCCCTCCTGCTCCCTTCCCAAAGCTGCTGTGGCCACCTGCCTTACAGACAGCCCCAAGGTGCCTGAGCCTGGCTGCAGCAGCAGCACTGGGGTAGCTCAGGGTCAGAGCAGGGCTGAATTCACCACGGGTTCAGAGGAAATTCCATGGCTGGAGCTGTGCACTCCTTCATTTGTCATCTGCCCTGAGTTTCTTCTCTCTGGGCCTCAGATCTAGCAGGACTCGAGGCTTTTTTTGCCTTCAGACTTTGCATTTTTTTCCTTCCAAGCGACCTGGTGCTGCAGCTGTGGAGGAGTTCCAGACAGGGAGACACAGCCCATCCATGGAGAGCACAGGAGGGTTTCTGCTTCCAAGAGCAAGCCTTGCCACTCCATTTCTCCAACCATCATCCTTTCCATGATGCACACTGCCTCTCTTCCACCCAGATGTCTCAGAGGCTCCCAGAGATGGAGCTCTTGGCTTTTCCCAAGAAATTGGGACTGCCGAGTAAAAAGGAGTTTTTGGGGTTGGTTTTTTTTTTTTTTTCGTTCCATGGAAAGTTGTCGCTTCGCCTCTGGTTTCCTAAAGGAGAAATGGAAGAAAAAGGTGCTTATTTCTGGAGCTGTCAGGGTGGACAGGAGATCAAGAGCTTCAACCAGCTCTGCTGCAGAGGAAAGAGGGATTGGAGAGAAGGGACGTTTTCCCTCAGCTCTCAGGAGTTCTGTGTCCAGGTGCAGGAGAACCTGACTGAGAAATTTCTGCCCAATTACAAGATACCACCCAAACCCAGGAAGAAAGAGGAAGAAGAAGGAAGAAGAAAGGAACTCGAGACAACACCCTTTATTCTCCATCCTGAACCCATCTATGACATACTAAGAATCCTGAAATGTAAATTTCTCACCCATGTGACACACTCCACTACTCTCTACAATCTATTTCACACTTCTTTGGTTTCTGGTTTACCTTGAGGCTTTGGAAGTTTTCTCCATGAGTGAGGGGCAAAGTCAGAGCTGCCCTGGGGGTCAGGACACCCCAGAGCAGACAGAGAAACGTTCCTGGTGGAATATTCCTGGTGCCCTGGCATTGCCCAGTGCCCCAGCCCCTGCTGCAGGCTCTGGCAGTGCTGGGGCTCAGCCTGGCAGCTCTGGGCATGGCTCCTGGCCCAGGGCAGCACCCACAGCCTGTTTCTGTCCTTCCAGGGGAAGCTGGATGCCCTCTGGGTCCTGCTGAGGAAGGGCTACGACCGCGTGTCCGTGATGCGTCCGCAGCCGGGAGACAAGGTACAGCACCCGCAGGGCAAAACCCTCTGCTGCCTCTGCTCAGGGGCAAACTCTGTCCCCTCTGTGTCCCCTCTGTGTCCCCTCTGTGTCCCCTCTGTGTCCCCTCTGTCCCCTCTGTCCCCTCCCTGGGCTTTGCCAGCCTGAGCCATCAGCCCCTGGAAGAGCCCAGCCCAGCCCAGTTGGCTCCTGGGGCACAGAGCTGCTCCCACCAGTCCCACAGAAACCCCCAGGGCCAGTCAGGGATCTTCCTGCGTCTTTGGGCTGCAGCTGTGTCAGGGTATTTAATAATCCCCAGGATATTTGGGGTGTTGGGATTTTCCTTTGTTAAACTGCTCCACTTCACCCGGTGCTGTGAATTCTGATTCTGTGAATTCTGTGATCCTGTGAATTCTGATTCTGTGATTCTGTGAATTCTGTGATTCTGTAATCCTGTGAATTCTGTGATTCTGTGATTCTGTGATTTCTGTGATTCTGTGATTCTGTGATTTCTGTGATCCTGTGAATTCTGTGATTCTGTGACTTCTGTGATCCTGTGAATTCTGATTCTGTGAATTCTGTGATCCTGTGAATTCTGTGATTCTGTAATCCTGTGAATTCTGTGAATTCTGATTCTCTGAATTCTGTGATTCCATGATCCTGTAGATCCTGTGAATTCTGTGATCCTGTGAATTCTGATTCTGTGAATTCTGTGATCCTGTGAATTCTGATTCTGTGAATTCTGTGATCCTGTGAATTCTGTGAATTCTGTGAAACATGTCCTGGTGTGCAGGAGGCTTTGAGCAGCTCCTCTCCCAGCCCAGAGCAAAAGGAGCATCCAGGGATGCTCAGGAGCCGTTTTGAAGGGCACCCAGAGAGGCTGGGATGACACAAAGACGATGAAATTGTGGTTTTTTTGGAGTCAGACCTGGGGATGGAGGGTCTGAGGTCACCAGCACACAGATGGTTCCAATAAGGCAGAGAAGTGAGATCACACGGGATTCCTGTGGTCTTCTCACATTTTCAACAGACTAGGTTTGCGTTCTTGTCAGCATTTATGAGGTTATTTTTGTATCAGAAACATCATCAGAGAGAGGTGATGTAAATATAAATGCATTTTTTGGAGAACTTTATCACTTTTAAAACGGAACACAGGAACCCTTATTTGTGCAAATTGCTCACAGGACCCAAACAATTCGTGTTTCTCTGAAGTTCCAGTTGTGCTTCCTTGATAATTGTTGCTCTGTCAGGGATTTATGAGGTCATCAAAATGTGTTTCAAGCTCAGGCTTGGCCAGGAGCTCTTCAATCGGGGACCAAACTGGGGTTTAATTTGTTATTGCATTTTCATTTTGTGCTGGAGTAGGTGAACATTGATATCGAAGGGTGTAAAGAGAGGAAAAGTATAATAAATTATGTGTGGTGATGTATCCTACCCAAATTAATGATGATTCGGGGAAAAGAGCTTTTCTTTTTGGAAGTTTCCTGGTGGAATCACACCACTGTAAAATTTCCTCCTCAGTCCTTTCTCGTTTCTTTGAGAAACCTTTAATGTGCTGCAATAATTGGGTGTTTCAGGGAGGGATTAGCCCTGAGGAATTTGGATGTCTCTTTATTTCTGGCCAGTTCAGACCCTTAGAAAATCAGCTCTCCCCTCCTTGGCTGGGGAATGCCGTGCATTGCAAAGACCCCTCTGGGAAAGATCTCTCTCCCATCTCTCACTTCCCACACGGAGCTGGATGCAGGGAAAGGGAAAAAGCTGGAAAAGCTGGGACAGGGCTGCTCCAGCCCCAGGGCTCACCTGTGCCCCAGGTGCCACCTAAAGCCAGCCCCACCCTGCCAGGAGCCGGAATTAAAGCAGGATTCATGTTAATTAATTCATTTAATTCCAATTAAAGCAGGAATTCAGCCTGGCCAGAGGCAAGGGGGAGGAGGAAATGTGGGGAGAGCCTCTGGGACACCGTGGTGGTACCAATTAATCCGAGCTCCAAACGTGGGAGCAGCTGGAATATTCTGTTAACGTGCTTCAAATCCTCCCCTAACCACAGGAACAGCTCCCCTTGCTGCTTCATTTTCCCATGCACAGCGTCCAGAGAGGAAATTAGGAGGAAATTCTTCTCTGCGAGGGTGGGGAGGCCCTGGGATGGAATTCCCAGAGAAGCTGGGGCTGCCCCTGGGGGTGTCCCAGGCTTTGGGGCAGCCTGGGACAGAGGGAGGTGGCCCTGGGTGGGGATGAAGGTTTTTGTAACTCATCCCATGGCTCTGAAGAGGGTTTTCTGCAGCACGAAATGTGTTTTATTAGTGAGTGGTGATGTGGGGGTGGCCAGGTGGTGCTGGTTGGTGAGGAGCACAGCAAAATCCCACACAGCACAGCAGCAAAATCTCCCTCTCCTCCTGCAAACCCCCTGGCTCCGGAATTAGGAGCCTTTTTACAGGCAGGGAAATTCGGGTATCTCAGGTGACCAGGTCCCTGTCAGAGCTGGGAGCGAAGGCAGGGGTGCAGCCCCAGGGGCAGAGCCAGCACCAGCAGGAGCTGCAGTTTAACCCCAGCTCACAGCTCCTGACAGCCAGCAGAGCCCAGAGCAAGCCCAGCCTTTCCAACCCTCTGCTGCAGTCTGCTTTTCCAGCCACAGCCATGGAAAAGTTAACCTCAACATGAGCTCTTTTTCCTGGAACTGGCAGCTCCAGAGCCAAAAATCCTGGGATCTGCTCCTGCAGAGTGCAGGGGAGCCCAGCACAGCCCTGGAGGCTCCAGCCAGACCTGATCCAGGGCAGGATTTATCCCAGACAGAATTTAAAGTTATGCCTTTAATATTGACGTCAGAAGCTGAGGCAAACCCAGCAGCAGGGACTGTGGGGATGGGAATCATCCTCACCAAAAGCTGTGGGAATTATTCCTCACCAAAAGCTGTGGGAATTATTCCCCACCAAACACTGTAGGAATTATTCCCCACCAAAAGCTGTGGGAATTATTCCTCACCAAAAGCTTGGGAATTATTCCCCACCAAAAGCTGTGGGAATTATTCCCCACCAAACACTGTAGGAATTATTCCCCACCAAAAGCTGTGGGAATTATTCCTCACCAAACACTGTAGGAATTATTCCCCACCAAAAGCTGTGAGAGATTCCAACCTGGATGAGGGTTTTTTTTTGGGATCCAGCCCCAGGTGTGAGGTTCCAGCCTGGCTGAGGGGTTTTTTGGGATCTGGTGGCCATGGTGGCACTCCTGGTCTCAGCCATGGGAAGGTCCCTGACTGGGACCTCCTGCCTCCTGTGCCCAGCCTGGGACAGCAGGAACTGGAAATTCTCCCCCCAAAAATCTGCTTCATCCCCCCGGGGCTCAGTGCTGCATTTGGCTTTTTTTTTTTTTTTTTTTTTTTTTTTTTTTTTTTTTTTTTTCCACCAGGAAAAACATTTACTTTGGGAGAGGAAAGAGTAAAACAGAAAATAAGCTCATGCTCACCAGTCCAAAAATAAGGAACGGATTCAGAAATCCTCTGGTGCCTTTTGGGATGATTTCATATCTAAAGGAATGAATCCATAATACAGTAATGCTGATTCTGACATTTGAGTATTTACAGTGGGATCTTTTGCAGGTGGAACTTGTGAGGAAAAAAAAGAAAATAATAGCTCAGAGGGCAAAGGTTTTGTTTCAAACTGTACAACAAACTGTAGCTTAGCAGCAGAGAGCCAGAAAAGCACTTTATTGGCTCCTCGGAGCAATGGGATGTCAGGACATCCTGAGGAGGAGAGGATGCACTTCAGGAAAAAGTCTGAGCAGGAAAACGTCTCAGTTAAGCAAACCTTCCCTTGAGGCTGGTGGATGGGTGGGGTGGGAAGGTCTGAGAGGTCCCAGCTGTGCCCTGGTGGGGGACAGGGTGGGATGAGGAGGTCCTGAGGTCCATCCCGTGCCATGGTGGTGGCCAGGGCTGGGACAGGGAGGTCTGTGACATCCATTCCTTGCCATGGTGGTGGCCAGGGCTGGGACAGGGTGGGACAGGCTGGTCTGGCAGGGAGGTCTCTGAGGTCCATCCCGTGCCATGGAGGTGACAATGCCTCTCCCAGTAACTCCTCTCCTCCTCCTGCTCTGTTCCAGGGCCGCTGCATCAACTTCACGCGGGTGAAGAACACGGAGACCCCCCCCAAATACCCCCTGAACAACTCCTACCCCTCCGCCCCCCCCCCAGCGCCCATCTACACCCCCCCGCCCCCCGCCCCCATCTACACCCCCCCTCCCCCCAGCTCCCCCCACGCCCCCTCCCCCTCCTCCACGCTGCCCCCGCTGCCCCCCCCGCCCCAGGCGCCCCCCCCCAGCCGGGCGCCCCCCCCTTCCCGGCCCCCCCCCCGCCCCACGGCCTGAGGGGTCCCCCCGCCCCCCAGAGCTGTCCCGGCAGTACTGTACCCCCGGCCGGGGGACCCCAGCCCCTGCCCCGCTGCCAGCAGCACCGGCCGCCTGCAGCCGCCCCCTCCCCTTCTCCTTCTCCAGCCCCCTCCCCTCCCCTCGCCCCTCCAGCATCAGTGCCAGCGGCTGGGGACCAGAGCGCCAAGGAGAGCTCCTGGCATGGGGGTGTGCCACCCTTGGGTGCCCTGTGCCACCCCTGGGTGCCCCGTGCCACCCTCGGTGCCCTGTGCCAGCAGCATCAGTGCCAGCGGCTGGGGACCAGAGCGGCCAAGGACAGCTCCTGGCATGGGGGCTGTGCCACCCCTGGGTGCCCTGTGCCACCCTTGGGTGCCCCGTGCCAGCAGCATCAGTGCCAGCGGCTCAGGAGCCAGAGCGGCCAAGGAGAGCTCCAGCTCCTGCCTGGCACGGGGGCTGTGCCCCCTCAGTGCCCTGTGCCACCCCTGGGTGCCCTGTGTCACCCCTGGGTGCCCCGTGCCAGCGCAGGAGGAAGGGCACGGGTGACCCACGAGCTCCGTGCCAGGGAGAGCCCCGGGCAGGGCTGCACAGGACTGGCAGCAGTGCAGAACCCCAGCCAGGTGTGCACACCTGGCACACCTGGCAGGCCTGGAAACACCTGGCACACCTGGCACACCTGGCACTCCTGGAACTCCTGGCACACCTGGAACACCTGGCAGGTGTGGAAACACCTGGCACACCTGGAAATCCTGGCACAGCTGGCACTCCTGGCACTCCTGTGTTGCTGCACGGGGGGTGTTGCTTTGGGGCAGGGCAGGCAGGTGGAATCGGAGCCTCCAGGAAATCAGCGTGCAGGTTTGGACGTCCCTGGGCACGGAGAGCGCGGGCACAGCCGGGCACAGCCTGGCACAGAGCCTGGCACACAGCCTGGCACAGAGCCCCGGGCTGGGGCTGTGGCCAGCAGAAAAGGGAAAAGGCTCTGCAGTGTCCCCAGGCCAGCCTCACCCCGGGGCTGAGCTGGCTCCCAGCTCCAGGGACAGGCTCAGTGCCAGCCAGGCTTTGGTTTCTGGGGTTCCCCAGTCTGCTCTGGGGTTCCCAAATCCCCTCTGGGTTCCCCAATCCCCTCTGGGGCTCCCAAACCCGCTCTGCTCGGGCTCCTGGTCACTGTGGAAAGGTACCACTGATGCCTCCCTGGTTTTCTTTAAATTCAATTAGTTTGCCTTAAAAATGTTCCCACATGGATTTTTTTTTTTTTTTTTTTTTTTTTTTGGTTTGGTTTGCTTTGGTTGGGTCTGGTTTGCTTTGGTTGGATTTGTTCCCACCATGGGCGGTGTGAAATCTGGGACAGTGTAACACAGGATCCACATCCCCAACAGATCCTCAGCACCTCGGAAATGTTTGGGAAGGAAATTGATTTTCCACAAGGCAGCATTGGGAATTTTATTTTTTTAGGTGTCCGTTAGCCAATAAGTTGGTTAATTGGTTAATTAACCAATAAACCTACTGCTGGGGGAAATGTAAAAGCTGTTTTTGCAGATGTACATAGAAATTCTCCTTCTCCCCAAACTAAGGGAAAAACCCCAAACCCTGCAGATTTAGAGGAGCAAAATAAATCCTAGGTCAGGCTAGAAAAAATCGGAATTTTCAAATGCTCCCTTTGTAATCATCCAGTTTAGGAATAAAAAACAAGCTCCAAATTTTTTGTTGTACATATTGTTGCTGCATGCTTACCATATGTTAGATGGAAGCATTTCCTATCCCTTGTGGATAAAAGAACATTTTTCAAGTTGTAGTAAATTATTATGAAGCCAATGACATTTCATGGCATGTTACCGTATCAAGCTGTGCTTGTTGTATTTTTTTTTTTCTTTATGGTTGTATTGCTTTTTTTTTTTTTTTTTAATATAAATGTACAAATATTTCTGTAGTGACGAGCACCTGTTTTACATGGCATTAATTGGGGCGCTGCAGCTCCAGGCTCCTCAGCCCATCCAAAGGGGTTTTGCACGTGGATCTGGCTGAAAAAAACCCCAACCCAGCAGAGGATGGGCTTGGTGACCCTTCCTGACGATCCCACAAAAATCAGAGCACGTCTGGGGGTGACCTGGTTGGAATTTCGGAAGGAATTCTCCCATGGGCAGGGACGGGATGGGATTCCCAGAGCAGCTGGGGCTGCTCCTGCACCCCTGGGAGTGTCCCCAAGCCAGGCTGGAGCAGCTGGGACAGGGAAAAGCGTCCCTGCCATGGCAGGGGTGGCACTGGGAGGATTTTGGGTCCCTCCACCCCATTCTGGGCTCTGTGATTTCGGCCCAGCCTAAACAGAAACGGCTCCCAAAAGTCCCTCAGGTGCCTCTAAAAGCCACACTCCCTTTGTGCTGGACCCTAAGGATGAATTTAGGGATTTTGTGGAAGGCTGGGAGCAGAACCTCGGTCCTGCCAGCTCCCCCAGCAATTAATGCCATGTAAATGAGGTCGAACGAGCTGGAGCACTCTGCACCCTGTGCCCCTGGCCTTGGCCAGCCCTGGCTGAGATGTTCACCCCAAAGCAGCTGGAAATGCCTTTTCTGCCCTTCCTGCCCAGCTCTGGCAGGGCCTGGCAGCCCCTGACAAGGGCTCAGCCTCTGCTTATTGATTTGATTTGATTTGATTTGATTTCCTTTCCTTGCCCACTTCTGTGCCCGCCTGGATCCCCTCTCTGCTCCTGCTGTGGAGGCACCTCTGTCACTGCTGATTTTGGGGAGGGGCTCGGCTGCCTTGGGGAGCTCTGGCCACTTTTGGGTGACATTTGGGCAGGTTTGGGGCAGGTTTGGGGCAGGTTTGGGGCAGGTTTGGGGCAGGTTTGGGGCAGGGGGAGCTGGGTTTGGGCTGTCAGCTCAGCCGGTGCTGTGCAGACGTGTCACCCCCTCCGTGTGTTGCATGTGTCCTTTGTTAAATCCAGTCATTACTCTGGATTGCTGGCCTTGATGTTATTATTAATTAAAGACCTACACAAATCTCCCGTGGGCTCTGAGCCGTTCCTTGCTGAGCTGCAGCAAATCCTGGGCACAAACTGCTGTGCACAAATTTTCACCGTTTTTCCCTTGTGCTGGGAGCTCACACTTGGTGGTTTTCCTCCCAAAGCACTCCTGACAAAAAGCTGATTTTTTTGGGTGTGACAGAGCTTGAAGTGCCCATTCCTCCCAGAATGGATTTCACACAATCTGGCTCAGGCACCACCAGGAATAACCAAGCTTCTGGCAGGGAAAGAAATTGCTTTTTTCTCCCTAAATTTGGCAGAGAAAGCCCCAAATCTGAGTCAGAGATAAGGGTTTGTGTGGGGCTGATGGGAGTGCCAGGGGGACCCAGACAGAGCATCCTCTCTCTGGGTAATGCATCTTTGCATTTCAGAAACAGCTATAAAATCACTTGTAAAATAAAATAACATGAGCTGTAAAATAAATCATCCTGGATGCAGACAGTGGCTGAGAGTCTGCAGCACATTGCCAGAACTTTTTAGATTATTTAAGTATTTTTTCATAGTTAAATGTTTTGGAGGGTCCTGCCTGGTAATGTGGGAAGGGAAAACATCTTGGGAAGGAGTAAAGCACGAGGGGAAACGGGGAAATGTTTTCTCCTGCCACAGGGTCAGTGCAGGTGTCCCCATGGTGAAGAGGACGTGTCCCCTCCCCTGCAGCCTGAGCAGGAATTCTGCATTTCTCACAGACATTAAATCCTGGGGCCTTTTCCAGAGCTGGGGGAGGAAAACTGAGCTGGGCCATGGGTGGGGATTGCTGAATTCCACTTGGTGCCCACTCCAAACCCTCCCTGGCCTCTCCTGGGGGGTGACAGGCCCCCAGAAGGTGCTGGGCGCTGCCCCCGAGCTCAGGGTGGGCTCACCAGAGCTGCTGGGATCCTCTCCCCAGGTTTTTCTCACTCCATGGAAAGTCTCTGGGAAAGAAAAAGCCTTGGGAATGTCTGCATTCCTCCAGCTGTGAAATGTGAGATGTGAGGAGCGAGCAGCAGCATTCCCATGGAATAGCCCAGCTTGGAATGGAATATTCCCATGGAATAGTCCAGCTTGGAATGAAATATTCCCATGGAATAGCCCAGTTTGGAATGAAATATTCCCATGGAATGGCCCAGCTGGCCATGGCTGTGACCCAGGGGGACAAACCTGGAGCTCTTGGAAGGAAAAGCTGGGAAAAGTCCTCGGGGAAAATGAGATTTTTGGACTCTGCAGTGCGAGAATGAACACTTCTGTCCATTGCAGAGGCTGGGGTTGATTATCAGCTTTTATTTCAGGCGTGGGCACTTGTGAGCCCCCCTAAATACCTCAAATAAAAGGATGCAAGGGTGAAAGGGCTGGGAGTGCCCTCCCCTCCCTGCTCCTGCAGCCACAGCAGCACTGCCCAGCCAGTCTGGTGGCAAAGCAGGGGGGGAATGAGCCATCCAAGCAGAGACAAAGTGACATTCCCAGAGCCAAACCCCCTCGGGCAATGCCCTGAAAACCAACATCACCTCTGCAAACTTTTATTGTTTAAAACCTACAGACAGGACCAGAACTCCAGTGCAAACACAAGCAGCGAGCAGAGTGACCTCTGGGGGTGTCACCTCCCCATGGGTGTCACCTCCCCATTGGTGTCACCTCCTTATTTGTGTCACCTCCCCATTTGTGTCACCTCCCCATGGGTGTCACCTCCCCAGGGGTGGCTCTGGGCTCTCTCAGTGCCCAACACTCACAGTTTTGGGGCTGGGGGCTTGGGGAGGCCTGGGCTGAGCCAGAGGTGCTGGTGTCACCCTGGGGTGGTGTCACCCCAGGGATAGTGCCAACCTGGGGCTGGTGTCACCCCAGGGCTGGTGTCACCCTTGGGATTGTGTCACCCTTGGGATGGTGTCACCCCCTGACCAGTGTCACCCCCAGGCCGGTGTCACCCTTGGGCTGGTGTCACCCGTGGGATGGTGTCACCCCTGGGCTGGTGTCACCCCTGGGATGGTGCCACCCAGGGATGGTGTCACCCTTGGGATGGTGTCACCCCCTGACCAGTGTCACCCCCAGGCCGGTGTCACCCCTGGGATGGTGCCACCCCTGGGATGGTGCCACCCCTGGGATGGTGCCACCCAGGGATGGTGTCACCCTTGGGATGGTGTCACCCCCTGACCAGTGTCACCCCCTGGCCGGTGTCACCCCAGGGATGGTGTCACCCCCTGGCTGGTGCCACCCCCGGTGTCACGGGCAGGGTCCTGCCCCTGCTCACCCCTGGCTCCTCCGCAGCCGCTCCGGGCAGGGCCGGGCTCAGTCTCGGGGGGCAGCGATGCGATCCACCTGCAAAAGGGACAGAAGGGACACGCAGCCTAAAAACAGCCGCCCCCGGGGAAACCAACCCACGGACACGGGTGGGATTCCAGGGGTGGAATTCCAGGGGTGGGATTCCAGGGGTGGGAATTCCAGGGGTGGGATTCCAGGGGTGGGATTCCAGGGGTGGGATTCCAGGGGTGGGATTCCAGGGGTGGGATTCCAGGGGTGGGATTCCAGGGGTGCATTTCCAGGGGTGGGATTCTGGGGGTGGAATTCCAGGGGTGCATTTCCAGGGGTGGGATTCCAGGGGTGGGATTCCAGGGGTGGGATTCCAGAGGTGGAATTCCAGCATTCTCTCACTGTGGGATTCCCTGTCAAAGGCAGCCAGGAGCTTCCAGAAGCTTCCAGCATTTCTGGAAGGAGGGTGACACTCACTGAGCAGGGGCCAGGGATGGGCTGGGCTGTGCTGGCTGCAGCTGCCTCGGTGATCATTAAATAATAATTCAGTAAAAATTAAGGTACAGAACCAGTTCTGCCTTGGGGGGATCTCACAGGATTTCTTCCAGAGTGGAAAAAATCCCAGTTAGGATTTTTTTTTTAGGGCAGGTGGAACATGAGAAATGAAATGCTGAACCTCTGGCCTAGAACAGCCTCGCTGGGCAGGAGAGGGGCGAGGTTTTCTGCTTTGTGCACCCAGGGGTTGCCTCTGTTCTTAATGGATTTAACTAAAGACCAGTAATTCCATTTGGTTAACGTAGGGCACTTGATTTTATTCAAAGGGTGAGATACAAAAAAAGTAAGCAAAGAGACAAAACCCAGATGAGAAACGCGACAGACAAGAGGAGACATCTCCTGCATACAGCACACGACAAACACGGTACAGTCTGGTCCCCACAGCCCAAGCCAGCTGGATATGTACAGCACAGAGCAGCTACAGGGGAGGAAATGTGGGTTTGCCACTCAAATCTCTATTTACAGAAACTGAATTGAAGGCAAATAAGTTTTCTTTCCTTCTTTTTTTTTTTTTTTTCCCAACCCAAATACTTCTGTTTCTTCTTCTTCCTGTTCTGCTGAGGAGGAGGGACTCCAATGCTTTGAGGCAAGTTTGGTACGGTCAGGTAGGATCTAAAATTGGCCACAGCTAAACACTGAGCTGCTACTTCAACTACTTAATTTCAGTCCCTCCCTCCATCCAACAGGGCCAGCAGGCACCTGCTGGTGGCACCAGGGACTCCTGGGGACAGCCAGGGAGGGGACAGGCCCAGTTCTGCACTGGTGTGGGCTGGGTTTGTGCCTCCAGAGGCTTTGCCTGCAGCTCAGCCAGGCCTGGGGTCTGGGCTGGGCTTAAGGCCAGACTGGGGGTTCTGCTGGGAGAGGCTCTGGGTGCTGCTGGGGCAGCAGGGTGTCCCCAGGGAGATGCCCTGCCCAGGGACACCCCAGGCACTGGGTGACAAATGTGGGACAATCTGCCCAGAGCCCTGCTGCAGCACAGCCAGGGGAAACAAAGCCTTTCTGCCTTTCTGCCTTTCTGGCTGCAGCAAATTCCATGTGCAGCTTCACCTGCACCTCTGTGGAATCCGTGAGAACTGCTGGGCCGAGCTGGGAGCTCTCTGCTCTTTGGGAATTAAACCCCCAGGACCTCAGGGCTTCCCTCGGAGCCTCTGCAGGTGAGGAACAGAGCCACTCACACCGAAATAACCTGTGAGCACAGTGGGCAGCAGCAGGAGCTGCTAGTCCAGCTGGCAAAGGCCTTGGCTTGTATTTACCTGTGGCTCAATTTTAGAGACAGGGCTACGGAATTTTTCAACACCTCAGTGAGGAAGGAGAGAATTTCACTGGCTCAGTAAGCAAAACATTCATTTGGGAGAGCAGAAGACTGACTGGCTGTTAATAAATACCACGAGACATCCTAAAAGTTTTCTAAGGAAAAGAGAAACATCATCTGTTCATCGAAATGCAACACGGGGACAGGATGAGGTAAGGAAAGCTAGAAAGAGTCCTTTGTACACTCCCACTTCACACTGCAACAACAACAAGGAGATGCTAAAGGCTCCCTGCCACGCTCAGCAGGGAATTCTTCACACAGGTGAGCTCCAGAGCATCCCTGGAGGCTGAGCCTGCAGCACCACCAGCCTCCCTGCGAGAGCTGTGAGTTTGGCATCAGTTTGACCCCCAGGCAGGAGGAGGGGGCACTGCCTGTCCCCTGACCCCTCAGTGCTGCAGGGAACAGGGACTGGTGTGGCTCAGTGTGAAGCCAGAGAGCTCAGCTCATACCGGACACTCCTAACTGGGTTCTTTGGTCCTCTGTGCACACAGCTTTCACCAAGGTGGAACAGCCTGTGCTCACACACTGAACCCATCCCCCAGGGCTGTGTGCCCCCTGCTCTGAGCCAGGCAGGCCAGGAGCAGTGCAGGGGAGAAAAAGGGCCTGAAATGATCCCCCTGTGGGGCTGTTCCACGAGAGATCCGCTCTGAGAGCAGAGGATGGGGCAACGCACATCCCTGGGCCAGGGGGAGCCCAGCCTGCAAAGCCCTGCAGGGCTCTGCCAAGCTGAGGAGGAGGAGGAGGAGGAGGAGGAGGAAGAGGAGCTGTCTCCCACCTGTGAACATTGCACATGCCTTGCTTTGTCCTCAATTCTCCTCCTCCAGTGAAGCAGGGAGGGCTGGAGGTGATGCTGGGCACAGCTGTGCCAGGGCAGTGCCTCACACACAGCATTTACTGC